CGAGGAACATCATTATAAAGAATGAAATGGACTTCCAGCCAAGATGGAGGCGTAGGTAGAAGCAATGTACCTCCTCGCACAACCAAATTTAAGGACAACAAAGATTTACAAACAAAAACACAACCAAAACATACAGAAAATTGAACTGTATGGAAGTCTGACAACAACAAACCATTCATCCAGACCACTAAGAGGGGCGGAGTCAGCGGCCGATGGAGAGGGGTCTGGGCAGGAAAAAGCGGTGGCTGCCTGACCAACCCAGGTGCGCAGGTGGTACTTGGCAGATCCTAGGTGTGGGGTGGAAATGGGCAGACTCAGTGAGGGCGTAAGGCGGCTGGCTGACCCCGGTCACACACCCATGTGCAGATAAACCAGGTGAAAAAACAGTGAGACAGACCACACAACCCAGGGCCCCAGAGATGGGAAATAAAGCCTAAAAGCACTGATTGAAAACACTTGTGGGGGTTGAGGTGCTGAGAGAGGCCCACAGGGTCCTAGAATGTACACAAGCCCACCCACATGGGAACCAGCACCAGAAGGGCCCAATTTGCTTGTGGGAAGCGGCACAGGGGACTGAAATCTGAGAGAGAGCAGAACAAATGCCATTGCTCCCTCTCTGACCCCGCCCCCAGTCACAACCCAGCCACTGGGTTAACCTGCTCAGGAGAACACCTAAGGCTCCGCCCCTCATTGTTAACAGGTGAGACCTGACCAAAATATTATGGCTCAAGCAGAAAAACAAATCAAAGCCCCAGAGCCAATACTTCTAAGCGACCAAGAGATAGCCAACCTATCAGATGCACAGTTCAAAGCACTGGTGATCAGAATGCTCACAGAACTGGTTGATTTTAGTTGCAAATTAGATGAAAAAAAATGAAGGCTGCACTAAGTGAAATGCAGCAAAATGCATAGGGAACCAATACTGATGGAAAGGAAACTGGGACTCAAATCAATGGAGTGGATCAGAAGGAAGAAAGAAACAACCAAACAGAAAAAAATGAAGAAATAAGAATTCAAAAAAATGAGGAGAGGCTTACAAACCTCCAGGACATCTTTAAACATTCCAACATACAAATTATAGGGGTACCAGAAGGGGAAGAGGAACAGTGACAAGTGGAAAACTTATCTAACAAATAATAAAGGAGAACTTCCCCCATTTGGCAAAGGAAATACACTTCCAGGAAGTCCAGGAAGCTGAGAGTCCCAAAGATGGTGGACCCAAGGAGGAACACACCAAAGCACATCATCATTACATTAGCCAAGATTAAAATGAAGGAGAGAATCCTAGAAGCAGCAAGAGATAAGGGGACAGTCACCTACAAAGGAGTTCCCATCAGACTGTCAGCTGATTTCACAAAAGAGACCTTACAGGCAAGAAGAGGCTGGAAAGAAGTATTCCAAGTCATCAAATCCAAAGACCTACATCCAAGATTGCTCTATCCAGCAAAGCTTTCATTTAGAATGAAAGGGCAGATAAAGTGCTTCTTAGATAAGGTCAAGTTCAAGGAGTTCATCATCACCAGGCCCTTATTATATGAAATGTTAAAGGGACTTATCTAAGAAAAAGAAGATAAAAATATGAACAGTGAAAGAATAGCAAACTCACAGTTACTAACAACCACACCTAAAACAAAAGGAAACTAAGTGGACAGCTAGATCAGGAGCAAAACCATAAAAATGGAGATCACATGGAGGGTTAGCAACAGGGGAATGGGAGGAGGGGAGTGGGAGAGAAGGTACATAGAATAAGTAGCATAGATGGTAGGTAGAAAATAGACATGGGAGGGCAAGAGTAGTATGGGAAATGTAGAAGCTAAAGAACTTGAGACACATGGACATGAACAAAAGGAGGGGAGTGGGTGTGCAGGGTGGAGGGGAATGAAGGGGGGAAATGGGACAACTGTAATGGCATAATCAATAAAATATATTTTTTAAAAAAGTAAAAGAATAAAATGGCAACAAACAGTATGTACCCATCAATAATCACTTTAAGTAAGTGTCAATGAATTAGGTGCTCCTATAAAAAGACACCAGTGGCTGAATGGATAAGAAGACACAACACAGACAAGAGCATCAGCCGCCCACAAGAGACCCACTTCCAGGTGAAAGACTCACAAAGACTGAAAATAAAAGAATGAAAAACAGATATTTCATGCAAATGAAAACAAACAAACAAGCAAGCTGGGGTGACAATCCTTACATCAGACAGGACAGACTGACTAAGCAGACATTCGCAGGGGATTTCAACACCCCACTAACATCACAGACGCACGTTCCAGACAGAAAATCAACACAGAAACAGTGGCCTAAAATGACACGCTAAGCCAGATGGATTTAAATGATATTTTCAGAACATTTCACCCCAAACTGGCAGAATATGCATTCTTTTCAAGTGCACGTGGAACATTTTCCAGGATACACCACATGCTAGGACACAAAACAAGTCTCAATAAATTTAAGAATACTGAAATTATATCAAGTGTCTTCTCCAACCAAAACGGTGTGAAAGTAGGAATCAATTACAAGAAAAAAAGTAAAGGAAAGTATACAAATCCATGGAGGCTGAATAACACATTACAAACAATGACTAGGTTAAGAATAAGATCAAGGAAGAGATCAAAAGATACCTCGAGACAAGTGAAACCAAAAATATAACCCCGAGTCTATGTGGAAACAGGAAAAATCTCAAATAAACACTCTAATCTTAAACCTAAAGGAACAGAAAAGGACAATAACAAAGCCCACAGTTAGAAGAAAAAAATAATATAGAAGAAAACATAAATAAACACAATAGAATCTAAAAAATCGATACAAAAGATCAATGAAACCAAAGGCTGCTTCTTTGAAAAATATGCAAGACTGACAAATCTTTAGCCAGGTTCATCCACAAACAAAGAGAGAGAAGATTCAAATATTCAATAAGTAAAATGAGAAATAAAGGAGAAGTGATAATTAACATTAAAGAAATACAAAAGGATTATAAGAAAACATTATGAGCAACTACATGCCAACAAAGTAGGGAATCTGGGCAAAATGGATATATTTCTAGAAATATACAATCTTCCAAAACTCAATCGAAAAGAAACAAAATCTGAACAGAGCACCCATGAAAATCCATGGACCATAGAAATCGAAACAGTAATCAAAAAACTCCCATCAGCCCTGGCCGGGTGGCTCAATTAAGTGGAGCATTGTCCCCTACACCAAAAAGTTGTGGGCTCCATCCCCAGTAGGGGTGTGTATGGGAGGCAACTGATAAATGTTTCTCATCTCTCTCTCTCTATCCTTCACCCACCTCCCTTCCTCTCTCTCTAAAATCAATAAAAATATAATCTTGGGTGAGGATTAAAAGAAAAACCAACTCCCAACCAACAAAAGTCCTGGAACTGGATGGCTTCACAGGTGAATTTTTTCAAACATTCAGAGAAGAACTAACACCTATCCTCAAATTATTCTTCAAAATTCAAGTGAAGGGAAGACCCCCACAAGCTCATTTTACAAGGCCAGCATTATCCTAATTACAAAACCAGATAAAGACACTACAAAGAAAGAAAATTATAGGTTAATATTCTTCATGGACTCATGGACATAGATACAAAAATTCTCAACAAAATATGACCAAACTGAATTTGGCAATACGTTACAAAGATCATACACCATGATCAAATGGGGTTTATTCCTGGGATGGAGGGTAAATGCAGTGTCCACAAATCAATTATTGTGATACACCACATGGACAAAATGAAGGATGAAAATTCACAGCTAACGCCGTAACTACTGGTGAGAGACTAAAGGCTTCCCACCCAAGATCAGGAACGAGTCAAGGATGTCCACCTCATCACTCCTATTCAGTGTTGTACTGGATGCTCTATTAAGGGCAATTAGGCAAGAAAAAGAGATAAAGGTTATCCAGATTAGAAAGGTATAAATAAAACTATCTCTATTTGCAAGTGAGAAGATCTTAAATATTTAAAAAATCCTAAAGAGATAACTATTAAAAGTAAAAAAGTGAGTTCATGAAGGTGCAGGATCCAAGATCAATATACAGAAATCAACTGTATTTTATACACTTGTAATGCACCCTGAAAATAAAATCTAAAGAACAAAATCAAAAAGAATAAAATACTTTGAAATAAATTTAACAAAGGAACTACAAATCCTATGCTTTGAAAACTAAAACACTGTTGAAATGAAAGACTTAAACAAATGGAAAGATACCCCATGTTCGTGGGTGATATGGCATCAGCTCCCAAACTGATTTATAAATTCAATGCAATACTTTATCAAAATACCACCTGACTTTTTTGCAGGAAGGTGATCTTAAAATTCATATGAAAAAGGCAAGGGACTCATAAGAGCAAAATAATCTTGAAAAAGAAGAACAAAGTTGGAAGACTCACACTTCCCAACTTTGTAACTTACTACAAAGTAGTAGTCAAGACAGATTTTACTGGTATAAAGATAAACATAAGGATTAATGGAGAGAAACCAAGAGTTCAAAATAAACCCCTATGTTAAAGGCCCACTGATTCTTGACAAGAGTGTCACGTCAATTCAATGAGGCAAATAATAGTTTTTTGAACAAATGGTGCTGGGACACTGAATAGCATCTTGCAAAAGAATGAAGTTGGACCCTTAATAACACCATGTACAAAAAAAATCAGATACCTAAACGTAAGAGCTAAAACTGTAAAACTCTTAGAAAAATACCAGGAGTAGATCTTTGTGATGCTGGATTAGGTAATGGTTAAAGCAACAAAAGAGTAAGTAGATGAATTAGACTCTATCAAAATTTAAAACTTTTGTGATGTCAATATCCTATTTTCTGTATACACCAAATTCTGCTTATCCATTCAACTGTAGACAGACACATGGGCTGCTTTCGCCTCTTGGCTATTGTGAATTTGTGCTGCACGGAACCTGGTCATGCAAATATCTCTTCAAGACCCTGCTTGCAGTTCTTTTGGATACAGACCCAGAAGTGGGATTGCTGGATCATGGAAGCATTTCTTTAGAGTGAAAAAAGTGCTTGAAAATTTGATAATGGTAATAGATGCAATAACCCTAGAATATATTAAAACCACTGAATTGCACATTTCAAAAGGGTGAATCATATGGTATATGAATTATACCTCAATAAAGCTGTTAAAAAAGACAACTTTAAAGGGTGAATCAAAGAGATAGTTACTTAAGGATTTTGACCAAACTGGACAATGAATCTGGTTAAATAACCAATCAATCGTGTCATTCAGGTAATTCTGACTCTTATTTTCAGTGACTCGGCTGGATGTTTAGGTGTTTTTCCCAACAGAACCTCAGTGCTTCTTCAACACCGAACATTAGGGAAAGCGCAAGAAAGAAACTGCTAATATACTTTTAATTCACAACACTAAACCTTTTCCTATTTTGTGTCAGAAAGCGCTCTGGAGAAATAACAAATGGACACTAACTCCAGCGATTTTTATTTCACTTGTTCTATAGGTATGCCATTCCCCAGATTTTTAAAAGGCCTTACTTCCCTAACTAAGGCAGGATTTTACTCACTTTGACCTCATATTCGCTTTTTTGAAACGTCACAAAGAAGGTACTCGAAAGACGGAGGGTTTGTTTCCTTTCTTTGGCAATAAAAAATATAAAATTAAAAAGTCTATGTCTAATGTCGCTGAGTGAGGAAACAGGTGTTAAGAAAACAGGAGAGATGTTGAGGAGAAAGTGCACGTCAAACTCAGAGTCTTCTCTCTGTCGGACACAACTAGAGATGCCCACAGCAACCCAACGGCCACTGACGCTCAGAAACTTGTCTGACCGTCTTCGTCTCTGCTTCACCCAGACATTTTCAGTTGTGTCAAGGCTCAAAGGTGCGGCTTCAGAAAGACAATAAATGGGACCATCTCAAGATTTCTCATGATCTCTTCCGACCAGAGCAGAGCAAAGTAAGGGAAACCTTACTGATCTGACTGATCACTTTTAAAACAAGAGACTCAATATGTTTCACAGCAAAGAGATGAGTTTGGAGGTCAACTCTCCATCATGGTCCAAGGTGGAGAATGAAACAATAGTTCGATATAATTATAGGGACGGGTTTCTTACGTGGGACTGTCTTTCCAGATTACACATCTCATATGCTTCCTCGGCTTTTCCTGAATAATCTCTCAGACTTGATTTTAAGTGAAGGTTGAAATACTAGCAGTTGATTTCAGATTCCTATTATACATTTTTGAAAGTCCGTCTGTGTGCAGAAGCAAAATTATGAATGGCGACCCGAAGAGTTGAGTTCCCCTCAGGGATATCGCAGGAACTGAGGACTGAGTGTAGAGCCCGGGTATATGCTGCAAAGAAAGGTGCGCACACTGATGAACAAAGTCCCATTCTCTTTCCCACCCCATTCCTGTTAGTACTGCTTCACTACCCAGGTCCACAGGTATTGATTTAACTACCCGTTGAATAAATATTAACTGAGCACTTTACTACATGTCCAGCACTCCGAGAGGACGGGAAAGATAACAGGGAGGATGGACAAAAATAACTGCAGTGCAACCTTCCAAACCAGAGACATATGCAGAATGCCATCCCATAATGAAGTTCAGAATAAATGCAGACTATCCAAGAGAGGAGAATAAGTAGATGAATTAGACTCTATCAAAATTTAAAACTTTGAAAAGGTTTCCGGAAGTGAACATCTCAGATGGTCTTGAAGGTTTAATAAGAGTAACAGAAAGTATTCCAGGCAGAGAAATCAATGTGTGAGGTGCCACAGGTATTAAAAAAAAGTGACATACACTGGTGTGTGACAACAGCAAGTTCGATAAGGCTGAGGTCTTGCCTGGGGCTGGAGAGAAAGCATGCCAAACATGCCATGTATTTTGTGCCGTAAAAACTTAGAGGTTGGAGACCAGGGGAATGGCAGCATCAGATCTGTGATTTTAAAATATAAATCACAGAGATGGAGTAGCAGGAATACAAATACTTGCAGTATTTTCAGTGTGTGCATCAAGCCTGCATAGTCTCTGCACTACGTAAACCAATGTATTTAAGGATAAACAGGAAACAGAAACATTCGCGACAACAGGAAGGACCCCATTCTCTCCAGCTGGGATTCCTAATAAAGACAGTTTACACTGGTCCTCATTTTCCTCGGGGTCCCCTGGGAGAGCGGCAGTCTAATGCAATGTAGACGGTAATAAGCCTGGGTGAGATAACATTGAGGTATTTGGACAACAGGGAATCTGACTGGACAGAAGCCTAACTTAATGGCCCGAAGAGTCAAGCTCTAATACTCCTCATTTACGGGAGGACCTGGGACCCAAGTCTTCCCACGATGGAGGAAGCTGGAAATATCTCCCCAGCACAAATGGAGACAAAACGGTAACAGACCTCAAAGAGAAACATAACTCACTATAACCTACTTTTATTGCTTCAGAGTTGTTTTGTAAAGGGGTTTTAACAGTCTGATATATAGTAAGTACTCAATACATGCTAAATTGCTACAATGACTACTTTTTAAAAAATTGCCACCAGGCCCCCATGATTCCCATAAGAAACTTACCTCTGTGGTTTTTATAGAAAATACAATTGTTGGCACAGGTATCAGGATGAGCATCCCAAAAGCCAGGACCACAGCAGCACAGCGGAGGTAAAGTGATGTTATACAGCTGCAATTTCTCTTGGATCTGGGCCCTTAAAGCTTCTACATACCTGCAGAAATACAGTATGGTCAATGAACCACTAGAAAGAGAATGAGCACGAGTCCTCATTTTACTACCAGCTGTGACTGTTAAAATTATTCTACCTCTCTGTGCCCAGCTCTTCCTCTTTGTATTGGGAAATGGGACTAGCAGTACGTAGGGCTGTTCTCAAGAAGTATCTGGTGAACGTCTATACCCCCGAAAGTATGAGAAGCCACTGTCAACCCCTGTAAGGAAAAGAACACCGACTTCCTGAAGTCTCTTCTATATCTGGAACTTGATGCAAAACTTGTCAGAGTACCTTTGGTATTCCTTTTCTCGTTGATGCTGTTTCTGTCTGGCATCTTCCACTTCCGCAAGCTCTAGCTGGGCTAACATCTCACTCATCCTCTCCTCTGAACATGGCTCTTCGGGCAAGTTCATTCTTAATATCCTCTGCTCTTCTGCATAGCGTTGCTGCTCTTTCTTCTTCTTAATTCTGGAGACAAAAGTCATAATATGGTTAGGAATTTTATAAAATCGTTATTTAGAATTAGCTGCTAGGTCCAAATAATTCCAGAAATTCTCAGAAATAAGGGAGTCAGAAAATCAGTTTAACAGCTTCTAAAACAGCTTCAAAAACTGCTGGCTGATTCAAGTTTATCCCAGAGCTCGTGTGTGTGTGTGAGTGTGTGTGTGTGTGTGTGTGTGTGTGCGCGCATACCCACACATACATGCACTGCCTCCCAAATGAAAATGACCAATGGCTACTATCAAGAGTTTTTTCTGTAGGAATCCAAGTACAACAGCTTTCTTAGATTAAAACTACGAGTAGACAGGACTTTAGTTTTTAGCAAAAAATAGAGTAACAAAGACACTAGATTTTCCCTCTTGCCCTAAAAAAATCAAATAAATAAACAAATTAACCAACCAACTAATCAACCAGACAAAACACATAAAACAATCATTTTCAAAACTCTAGACACCAGGCACTGAAAGACAGTGGTCCTTGACAGATGGCAGACAGATGGGGTGAGCCCTGTAACCACCTGAGTTCACTGACTTGAAAGTTTCCAGGCAGCTGCACTGGGCAGGGCCGCTGAAGTGGAGCCTAACAAAGATGAAGCCCTGTTAGGGTTACAGAGTCCAGGGTTATAAAGGCAACTAGAATTTGTGAGACAGAATGCCAGAGAGGAGAGAGAGGGCTGCTGAGAGAGAGAACTTCAGTGATCTCCAGAGGGGCTTCTTCTAACACACAGCAGGGCACTGTGCGTGAAATGAGAGGAAACTCGGAGGGTGAGCCATCTAAAGGGTAACAGGACAGCGTGGGGATGTGAAGTACAGTACAGGAAGTAGGGCAGCCAGGACACTTACACGCATGACCAGTGGACATGAACAAAGGCAGGGGGGATTGCCTGAGGGAGTTGGGGAGTGCTGGGGGTAATGGGGACAAATTGGGACAACTGTAACAGCATAATCAATAAAGTATAATTTAAAAGAAAAAATAAAAGGGTAACAGAGCACAGTGCCTTGTGCTCACACAGAGCAGGGACGCCTTGTGCTCACACAGAGAAGGGAATAGTGCCTGATCCACCAGTCAGACTCAGAAAACCCACAGAGCACGGTGCACTGGGCTCCTTCCAGGAGGAGCTACCTCAGCAGTGGGAACGATAACCAGTCCTAGACTGAGCGCTGTTCCTTACAAACTGTAAGCAAAGCCCCAGAGTAACTTAACTGCATCTGAAAACAAAGCTCAGGAAAATCTATAAGAATGCAAAGACATCCAGCAACCAACAAGGTAAAATTCACAATGCTGGACATCTAATCAAAGATTATCAAGTGTGCGAAGAGGAAAGAAATAATAACTTATAATGAAGAGAATAATCAATCAAAACCAATATAGAACTGACAATTACTACAATTAAAACAGTTATTACAACTATATTCTATATGTTCAAAAGTTAAGACATAAAAAACGGAAATCAAACTTCTCAAGAAGATAACAACTTCTGAGATGAAAAATACACTAAAGAATAGGTCTATATTTATTAAAGAAATGGAATCAATAATTAACCTCCAAAAACAGGAAGCACCAGGCCAAGACAGGTTTACTGGTAAATTCTACTAAACAATTAAGGAAAAAATTATACCAATCCTCTACCATACCTTTCAGAGAAAGGAATACTTCTTAATTCATTCTAATACCAAAACCAGACAAAGATATTACAAGAAAACTACAGATAACATTTCTTATGAACACAGAAGCAAAAATCCTCAAAAATATTAGCAAATCAAACCCAACAATATATAAAAAGATTTATCTACCATGACCAAGTGGGATTTATCCCAGGAATGCAAGGCTTGTTCAACAAGAAAAACATCAATCTATCACATCAATAGCCTACTTAAAAAAAAATTACGTAATTCTATGGATGCAGAAAAAGCATCTGACAAAATCCATCAGCATTTACGATAAAAACTCAGTAAACTAGGAATAGAGGGGAACGTTCCAAACTTGATAAAGAATACTTACCAAAAAATCCTACAGTTAACATCATACTCAAAGGTGAGAAATAAAACAATTTCCTACCACTAAGATCAGGAATAAGGCAAGGATGTCCCCTCTCACCACTCCATTTCAACATGGTATTGGAAATCCTAGCTAATGCAATTAGACAAGAAAAGGAAAAAATAAAACTGTCTTTGTTCACAGATGACATAATCATCTATGTTCTTCCCAACCTGATCTACAGATTCAATGTAATCCCAATAAAAATCCCAGCCAGTTATTTTATAAACATTGAAAACTGACTTTAAAGTTTATATGGAGAGGCAGAAGTCCCAGAATACCAACATAATATTAAAGGATAGGAACAAAGTTGGAGGACATACTAATCAACTTCAAGACTTACTATAAAGTTACAGTATTCCAGAGAGTGTTGTATTGATGAAAACACAGACAGATAGAAAAATGGGACAGAACGAAGAAGCCAGAAATAGACTGTCATGAATACAGTCCATTGATCTTTGACAAAGATACAAAGGCGATACCGTGGAGCCAACAACAGTCTTTTTCACACATGGTACAGGACAACTGAATATCCATGTGCAAAAAAATGAATCTAGACATAGATCTTACAGCCCTCACAATAACCAACCCAAAATGGGTCATAGAACTCAATGGAAAACACAAAAGTTATCTCCTGGAAGAAAACTCAGGAGAAAACCTAGATGATCTTGGCTGTGGTGATGACATTTTAGATACAACACCAAAGTCATGGCCTATAAAAGAAAGATGATGAGCTGGACTCTATTAAAATCAGGAACTTCAGTTCTGTAAAAAATGCTTCAAAAGAACAAGAAAATAAGCCACGGACTAAGAGAAAATATTTGCAAAAAACACATCTGAACAGGACTATTATCCCACATATAAAAAGAGAAGATCCCTAAAACTAAACAACTCAAAAACAAACAACTTAATTCAAAAATGGGCCAAAGATCTGAACAGAAGCATCAGCAAAGAAAATATGCAGATGGAAAATAAGTAATCACTATTTGGCCAAATGGCCAAAATCTGGAACACTGACAATATCAAATGCTAGCGAGGACATGGAGCAACAGGAACTCTCATTCATTGCTGGTAGAAATGCAAAAAAGGAACAGCCACTTTATTAAACATACTCTTATCTACCACATGATCCAGTGAGGATGCAACTCGGTTTACCCAAAGGGTTGAAAACACATTCACATAAAACCTGCACAAAGATGTTTACAGCAGCTTCATTTATAACTGCCAAATCATGAAATCAACCAAGATTTCCCTTAGCAACTGAATGGATAAGTTAACTGTGATACATCCAGACAATGCAATACTATTCAGTGCTATAAAATAATGAGCTACCAATGAAAAAACACAGAGAAACTTAAATGCATATTACTAAGTGAAAAAGCCAATTTGAAAGGATACATACTGTATGACTGTAACTATATGACATTTTGGAAATGGCAAAATAATGAAGACTGTGAAAAAATTCAGTAGTTGCCAGAAGCTGGAAGACAGGAAGGTGAAGAGGGATGAGTAGGCAGAGCACAGAGGACTCTTAGGGCAGTAAAACTATGCTGCATGGCACGAGAATGAAGGATACATGTCATTATACGTTTGCCCAAACCCATAAATGCACAGCACCAAGAGTGAGCCCTGAAGTAAACTATAAACTGTGGACGACAATGTGTCAATGTAGGTTCCTCTTTGTACCAGAGGTACCGCACTGGTGGAAATGCTGATAAAAAACCACAAACCAAAACCTCCGTGAGATATCTCACACCCATCTGGGTGGCTACTGTGAAAAAAAATAAGAAAATAACAAGTATTGGCAAGGATGTGAGAAAGTGGAATCTTTGTGCATTGTTGGTGGGATTGGAAAAAGGTGCAGTTGCTATGGAAAACAATATGGAAGTTCCTTAAAAAGACTGAAAATAGAACTACCATATGATCCAGCAATTCCACATCTGGGTCTATAACCAAAAGAACTGCAAGCAGGGTCTTGAAGAGATATTTGCACAACCGAGTTCAGTGCAGCACAAATTCACAACAGCAAGAGGCAGAAGCAGCCCACAAGTCCGCCTGCAGTTGCATAAACAGAATGTAGTGTACACATACAATGGAACACTAACATTATTCAGCCTTAAAAAGAAAAGAAATCCTGTCACATGTGATAATATCAATAAGCCTTAAGGACATCCTACCCAGTGAAGTAATAAGCCAATTATAAAAAGGCAAATACTGTATTACTGCATTTATTAATATGAGGGTCTAAAGTAGTCAAATTCATAAAAATGGACATTAAAAGACTAATCGGAGAAGAGTAAGAATAATTTTATGCCAATAAATTTGACAACTTCGATGAAATGACAAATTTGTTGAAAGACACAAACTATTCAAGCTTATTTAAGAAAAAGATAATCAAAAGAGCCTTCTATCTATTATCAACATTGAAACTGTTAAGAATCTTTCCATAATGGAAAGAACAGATTCACTGGCAAATTCTACCAAATGTTTAAGGAATAAATAATACCAATTCTACACAAACTGTTTCCCAGAAACTGTAGACAGCACTTCCCATCTCACTCTATGAGGCCAGCATTACCCTGAAGCCACAACCAGTCGAAGACACTACACAATACTTACAGGCCAGTAACCGTTAGACACAGATGTAAATTCCAAACCAGGGGTGTCAGACTCATTTTCAGTGGGGTTCACATAAGCCTCATGATTGCCTTCAAAGGGCCGAATGTGATTTTAGGACTGTATAAATGTAACTGCTCCTTAACTAGGGGCAAGGATCTCGGCACTACACCAGGTAGAAACAAGGTGCCGGGCCGCGAAAAACAAGGTGGAAGCCCGGATTCGGCCTGTGGGCCTTCTGTTTGCCAACTGTGTTCTAAACAAAATTTTTAGCAAATCTAATCTAAAAGGATAATAAATTATTATCCAGTAAAGTGCATGCCAAGAACACAGGGTTGATTTAATATTAAAAATCAAACAATGGAAATACTTTCTCTCTAAGATCAGTGATTGTCCACTTTCATTACTGCTCTTCAACATCGTACTGAAGGTTCTAGCCAGCATAATCAGGTAAGAAAGAGAAATAAAAGACACTGGGATTAAAAGAAAAACTACAATTGTCTTTGTTTGAAGATGACATGCTCACCATGTTAAAAATCCAATGAAATTAAGTTGAATAAGGTCCCAGGGTGCAAGATCCACATCTAAAAATCAACCGTGCAATTCCATATACCACCAACAGAAGGAAATCAGACATTGAAATCTTAAAAAGTACCATTAACAATAGCATCGAAAATATGAAACTTAAGGACAGATCTGATCAAAGATGTGAAAGACTCATACACAGAAAATGGTAAGAAAATTATTTAAGAAGAGCAAAATAAAGGAGAGATACCTTGTTGAAGGTTTGTAAGACTAAATATTGTTAAAATGTCAATTGTCCCCAAATTATCTGTCCCCACAATCACAACCAAAATCCAAGAAGACTTTCTTTTTGAAGGTTTGTAAGACTAAATATTGTTAAAATGTCAATTGTCCCCAAATTATCTGTCCCCACAATCACAACCAAAATCCAAGAAGACTTTCTTTTTTTTGAGGGGGGGTACCAGGGGAGGGGTAGAAATTGGCAAACTGATTGTAAAATGCACATGGAAAAAAGTGCAGGGCCCAGCAGAGCCGAGACAACACTGGGGAAAACTGGAGGGCTCACACCACCTGACTGCAAGATTATAAAACCACACTGACCAATTTTAATACCACACTGATGGTATTAAAAGCAGACAAGTATAAATCAATGAAATAGACAAGAAATTCCAGAAGTAAACCCACACATATGTGGACCACTCATTTTTTAAATATCTTTACTGAGACATAATTTGCACACCACTAAGTCTGCCTTCCCCATAGTGTAAGATAAGGTCATTTTCATCACCTCTAAAAGGAACTCCATACTACTCACTGGCAATCACTCTCCACACCCTTCCCGAAACCCCCAGGCAACCACTAATCTTTCAGTCTCTGTAGATTTGCCTGTTCTAGACATTTCATATAAACGGGATCATACAATACATGGCCTTTCATGACTGATTTCTTTCATCTGGCACAATGTGTTCAAAGTCCATCCATGTTATATCATGTACCAGTATTTCATTCCTTTTTATTACCCATATTCCACTGTATGGATATACTACATTTTATTTAACTATTCGTCAGTTTTGGGACATCTGTGATGCTTTTGTTTTCTGGCTGTCATGAATAATGCTGCTGTAAACGTGTGTGAGTTCGGTGTGGATGGACCCTGCCAGTTCTCTTGGGTATACACATCCCCGGCAGTGGACCTGCTGAGTCACGCAGAAACTCTATGTTTAACCCTCTGAGAAACTGTCGAACTGTTTTCCAAAGCGACTGTGCCACTCTGCATTCCCTACCAACAATGTATGGGGATTCTAGTTTCCCCACATTTTCGTCAGCACATATTCCTAGTTTTTTAAAATTAAAGCCACTGTCCTGTGCCTAGTGTTACCTCATTGTGATTTTGATTCCCCAATTATTAATGATGTACCTTTTCATGTGCTATTTATTTAAGTCCTTTGTCCTGGGAGTATTCTTGCTGTTCTGGTTTTGTAATAATCAAGGCTATATTAAGACCAAGCCTGTGTCCCGAGACCTAGTTCCTTCCCTAGAACTGGTTTTGTAAATGCTGGTGATAAACAAACGAAGAAACAAACAAACAGATCCCTTGTCTACTTTTTAACTGAACTTTTTATTACTGACTTGTAAGAGTTCTTTACATATTCTAAGTCTTTTATAAAATATATAATTTGCAAATATTTTCTCCCATTCTATAGTTGTTCTTTCATTTTCTTGATGGTTTTTAATGATAATCAAGTTCAATTTATCAATCTTCTCCTTTATTGTTTGTTGGACAGCTGATTTTTAACAACTGCACAAAAGCAATGTTGTGGAGAAAGGACAGCATTTTTAACAAATGGATATCCACATGCAAAAAAAGTAAATTTCACACTATATATCAAAATTAATTCAAATTGGATCACAGATCTAAATGTAAAACCTATAATGAAAATTTTTCTAGAAAAAGAGTATTTGTGACCTTTGGTTAGGCAATGATTTTTTAAATACGACACCAAAAGTATAATCTATAAAAGAACAAGTTAAAAATCAGAAATTATTGAAATTTAAAATTTCAGCTCTTTAAAAGACAATGTTAAGCCCTGGCTGGTGTGGCTCAGTGTACTAGGTGCCAGCCTGTGAATCGAAGAGTCATCAGTTGATTCCCAGTCAGGGCACATGCCTGGCTTGCAGGCCAGGTCCCCAGTAGGGTGTGCACAAGAGGCAACCACACATTGATGCTTCTCTCCCTCTTTTTTGCCCTCCATTCCCCTCTCTCTAAAAATAAATAAATAAAATCTTTAAAAGACAATATTAAAATGAAGACAAGTCATAGACTGGGAGAACATTTTTGCAAAGCACATACTGGTTAAAGGATTTGTATCCAAATTAATTTAGAAACTCTTAAAACTCAACAATAAGACAACTAATTTAAAAATTTGAATGTGAACAGACAATTCACCAAAAAAAATTATATACAAATGACAAACACTTAAAAAGATGCTCAAGAGCACTAGTCATTCAGGAAATGCAAATTAAGCCATTAATTTAAAATAATGTGCTGAGTAGAAGGAGCTGGGTACAAGAGTATGCACACACTGCACGATTCTAGAAAACGCAAACAAATCTTCAGTGACCTAGAGCAAACCCGTGGCTGCTGGGGAGAAAGGGGCAGGGAGGGGCAGGGAGGGGCAGGGAGGAGCAGGAAGGGGCAGGGAGGGGCAGGGGAGAGGGGCTACCGAGGGCACTAGGAAACTTTTGAGAATGATGGATATTTTCACTATCTTGTCTATGGCGGTGGTTTCATGTACATACTCATATATGTTTATACCTTATGTGCAGTTTATTGAATATCAATTACTTATTTTAAAAACCACCTCTGAGTAGAAAGGAAATGAGTAACTCATTGAGAAAATCATAAGAAACCTAAGTAAACAGTTTTTGTTAAGAAACACAACTGACTCAGGACTTGAACTTATAAACATATGTTAATAGTTTTAATTGCTAGAAAGTACATTGAAACAAATGAGTTATTGGTTTCTGAACAGTAGTATGAGGTCAATTCACACCCATACCTCTTCAGTAAATCACTGATTGCTGAAAATTCTGGGTTATATTACTAGGCAGGCTATTTACTCCAGGGGAATCAGGCCTTCTTTTAGTTAGATTAACACAGGTATATATTTTAAAGCCAGAACCATCCTACAAAAGCTAAAAGATCAGGCCCTGGAAAAGTACAAGAGACACAATAGCTGTATTGTATGAACAACTAAGTCTATCCAGATTCTGACAGCTAATCACTAGCAGAGTGTCAAGGCTACTCTAAACAAGAGTTTTCTTACAACTGGTGTCCCATGCTTGCTATTCTTTCCTGAGCTACAACTGCTTAAATCTAAACTGTCTCAATGAGTATGGAATGTAAACATAGCCTTTATGGTAGGGTTCAAACTCAAATGCAATATAAAGTTGTAATAGGGCAGAGGTGAGGATCCCATTACTGCAACGTGGGCAGAGAGGTATGTTTTGATACATGTGAAGATCAAAATTTAAAGGCGCGTAAGGTAGTGACCCTGGAATGTGAGAGAGGTGATATGGGGAAGGGCCAAAACAGGCACATGCTCCTTCACAACTGACTTGAAAAATATGCGTCGTCTTGCTCTCTAAAAATAGTACTGAAGTGAAAAGATCACAGGTGCTGTTGGCTAGGGACCTACATACATAGGGAGCTTATTCTAAAGAGAGCCAGTAAAGAAAAGTATTTTGAGGACATTCATATTTGCTTAGTTTGGTAACTCCTTACCTTGTGAAAAAAATTTTTTTCTACAGATAATTAATCAAATTGAAGCGTTCAATGGTGAAATTTAAATGGAACCAAGTGAAGAACAACAGAAAAGCTAAGTCACTGTTATAATTCTCTATACCAGTAAACCAAGAGCTAAGGAAACAGATCAGCATTGTTTTTCCCAGGTTGACACTGTAGGTCTTAGTAACAGGACAGTTACTAAAATGACGGACTCAGCTCCCCTCCTTGTGCTCCCAGCTGCTCCTGTCCTCACAGTCAAACATCGGAAGAGTTCCCTAGACTTCCCGTCTCTGTTTCCTGATAGCCTCCCGCGCTCCAGCATGGCTTTACAACCCATCAATCACTCCACCGCAACAGCTCTCTCAGGTCGCTGGTGGCCTATAAGTCCTTTAATCCATCTGGCACAGTAACTGTCAACCTTTTTCAACTCATGGCACACACAAACCAATTACTAAAATTCTGTAGCACACCAAAAAAATATATTTTTGCTGCTCTGACCAAAAAAATAGGTATAATTTTGATTTATTCACACCAGATGGCTAATGTTATGTTGGCTGTTGTCATTTTTTTATTTGACAATCTAAGAAAAGAGAGGCCAGTAACCCTGACTAACTAGTCAGGTACTGCATGTTTTAAACATTCTTGCAGCCACTGGTTGAAAATCCATGATCTAGCACATACATTCTCAATAGGGGCAATATTGTACACAAAAAGACAAAAGTTGATTCAAAGAATCTGAGACGTTAAAATACTTTGTGGCCTTCCAAAGTCACAGTCCGGGAACAGACACAGACTGGGTCTAGGCATTCTCCACTGCTCACTCTACACCTGCTCCCTGAGTGACTTCACGTCTGTCATCCACTTCAGCCGCCATCCACGACCACCTAGAGCTCATAAGAGCCAGGCTCTGCCACTGACCACTCCCCCGAATTCAAACCTATTCAGCCACCCCCAGTGTGACATCTCCACCACAGGGTGTCAGTCACATCCTTCTGGGAAAGGAACCCACAATTTGGCCCGATTCTCAGGTTAATAACTACTGCCACAGAGTAATTTCAAAAAGGATCATAAAATCAAAAATGACAAAGCTACCTGAAAAAGTTGATATAGACACTCATTCTATAAACACGTTTTTAATCTCATCAGATGTTTTGGAGGCCACTTGCATAAGTAGACCTTTTACTTATACACAGCAGAAAGTAAAGTAGGTCAGAAATCAACATGTCGGTATGTTTTTTGCCCCACTGACGTGAACACACATAACCTGGTAGTCTAAGCCTAAACCTGGGACTTATCCTTGAATTCTCTCACAAAATCCTTTCAATTCTCTCTCGTATGCTCTTAAAACTTCCTCCTCCGAAAGGCTGTTACAGACTCTGAAGGGGCTAGATGACAGGTCAAACGCATCTGGGGTTGAGTCCCAGTTCTGCTATTGTTCAGTGAGATCTTAGGCAAATTATTGTCTTCCGTAAAATGAAAAGGGTAAAGTGTACCCCCTAAGGGTACTGAAGTGCAGAAAGGACCAAATGCCTGTGAAACACTCACCTGTGCCCGGCACACTGCAAACACTCGGTGAACGGCAGTCACCACTGCCCTGCAGGACTGTCTGTCAGCTAGAGACGATTAGGTTAAGTGCGTGACACGGAGTAAGGACTTGATATAGAATGATCTTTTTAGAAAATTAATTTTACTTCTCATGTTCTCTGTAAGTGTATTCCTTCAATAACCTCCTAACATCTAGTTTCAGTCATGATTCACCACAATGCCTCTAAATGGCTCACGTTTTCAGGGTAAAAGCCAAATTCCTTCTCACAACATCCAAAGCTCTTTATGATCTTGTCTGCGCTTATTTCTCAAGGGTCACCACTTAGCACTGCATCAGCCCCGGTCCCAGCAGTCAGCACTGCCCTATTCTTCCAGAGTCTATGCTTTCGTGGCGCTGTTCCTCGTGCTAGAACTCCCATGTATTCCTCCCCCAACCCAACTCCCACTTTCTCTCATACTACTGCTTCTAATCCTTCTAAACGCAGCTCAGGAAGCCCTCTCTGTCCGGCTACATTATAGTCCCAATTATGGGTTGAAAACACAGTCTCTGTTCTCATACAGTCTGGTGATATCTTTCTTCTAATGATATTAAAAATTATTTTACTTCACTAATATTTTACTTGAGGATTTTGTAAGAGAAATTAGTCTACAACATTGTTATTTTATAAATGTCCTTGTTAGATTGGTATTAAGGTTACACTGGCTTCTATAATTATTTGGAAGGTATTCCCTGTTTTCTATTCTCTGGAATATTTTATGTAAAACTTGGTGTAACTTTTTCCCTTAAATATTTGGCAACTGACATTTTTTAAAGGACTTATTATTTACTTACTTATTATTTATTGATTTAATAGAGAGGGGGAGGGAGGGAGAAAGAGAGAAACACTGATCAGTTGCCTCTTGCACACACCTGACTGGGGACCTGGCCTGCAACCCAGGCCTGTGCCCTGACCAGGTATCAAACGGGTAGCATTTCATTCTTTGGAATGATGCCCAACCAACCGGGCCACTCAGGTCAGGGTGGCAACTGGCATTTTTTGAGCACATACTCTGTGCCAGGTTCCGTATTAAGCACATTCACATGTTACTTTCTTTAGTGATCACAGCAACGTCATGAGTCATACCCCATTATTATCCCTGTTCTACAGAGAAGCGACGAAGGCTCATGGATGTTCTTCCCCAAAGTCACACGGCGGCTAGGCAGCAGAGCAGGGACTATAACTCGTATCTCTCCGTGTTCTTAACCACATACTATATACTGCCTTGTAATACATAATATAAGGTACTGTAATTATCTGTTCTTGTATCTGCATCCCCATCAGTCAGTAAAATATATCTAGTAGGATCCCTGAAGAGTGTGCTCATGTCTTTCATTTGTTGCACCCCTAAGTCTAGCATCATGTCTACAAGTGAACAGATGCTCAATAAACAGCTGCTAAGTGAAAGAATAAAAACATATTATTTGATTCATATACAACTGGCTAAGGTAAAGCAGCTTTTATCAGTTCCTGTTTAGAAAACAGATGTATGTTTTTAGAATGCTGTTAAAGCGCCTTTGACTTTAAATCATATAACCTCCATGCAAGAGAAGGTATAAATGATTTCGTTTCTTCAACCAGAAAAAAGCCAAAAATAATTTTTAATTATTTGCATGCTATCAACAAGATTTAATTTTCTGAAGCCATCTGTAAGACAGAGACCTTCATATTTTTTCTAGGATCAAGCAGATAAATCCAAAAATAAAAAAGATTAGCCATCCAGTAAGAAAATGGCAATAAAACAAAAGCCTTAAGCAGAGAAGCTCTCGAAAAGCACAGCTGAAGAAGGACACCCCACTGACTGCACCATGTGGTGGACATGCCATAGGAAGATTTAGATTAGACATCAAATGCCCATAGCAAGGGTGTCCTGGCTTCAGTTAAGTGAACTGAACTAAATTTCCATTCTGTCTTTCGCTTCATGAATCTGTAGAAGCTCATACACATGCACTATAGAACTGAAAGTTTTTCTGATGTGGATCTGATCATAATTATGGCTAAATAACTAGCTTGTAGTGTGGCGAATCTGGCTACACATACGAGTGAACTGTATGACTTCTTTCTTCAGGTCTGATCTGCTGTTTTTTCCCTAGCTTCTTAAGATATAAATTAAAAACACTGATTTTTAGCCCTTTTTAACTTTTCTTTTAAATGTTACCTTTCATTTAGAGTTTGCATTCTATATTATTTTGTATTAGTTTCAATTGTATAGCGTAAGAGTTAGACAATCACACACTCTACAAAGTGTTCCCCCACAATATTTCTAGCATCCAGCAGACACATTTATTACATCATTGACTGGATTCCCTCTGCTACACTGGGCATCCTTTATTTTCAGTCTCTGTGTATCTTTCTATCTGAAGTGGGTCTCTTGCAGACAGCATATATATGGGTCCTGTGTTCTTATCCATCCGGCTACCCTATGTCTTTTGACTGGATGTCCTTTAGTAGGTGAATGGATAAATAAACTATAGTACATTCAGACAACAGCATATTATTCAGTACTGAAAGGAAATGAAATAGCAAGCCATGAACAAGCATCGGAAGAACTTAAAAGCATATCACTAAGTGAAAGACACCAACTGAAAGGCTATATGCTGCATGGTTACAGCTCTGTCACATTCTGGAGACAGCACACTGTGGAGACAGTAAAAAGGTCAGTGATCGCCGGGGACCAGGAGAGGAAGAGATGAACTGGTGAAGCACAACTATTCTGCATGATACTGCAATGATGGACACATGTCGTTACACACTTGTCAACACTATAAAGACCTACCACACCGAGAGTGAGTATGAATGTACAGTATGGGTTTAACGTGTCCACAGAGGGCCCATGTGTTGTGACAGAGGTACCGCGGGGTTACAGGACGGTAACAGTGGGGGAGGCTGCCCATGGGTGCAGGTGGGGAAGAAATGGGAACTCTACACTTCTGCCTAACTTTGCTGTGAACCTATAACTGTTTCAAGAAAATTAAGTCTATTTAAAAACCATAGCTCTTAACCATCTATGAATATTTCTATCCAGATTTAAAATAGTTGTTCCCACTATGGATCAGAAGGCAAAACCACTGATTATTTCTAAAATTTAGCTTCCAAAGTCATCTTAACTGATGACCACAAAGAGGACCAAAAGTTTAAAGACCACAAGGAAGATCAAAAAACTCACTTTTCAATTTTCCTCCTATGTTCTTTTTGCCTTTGTTGTTCTTTTACTTGTTCTCTTTCAATGTCCATGAACAGTCGTCTATATCTCAGATACTGCTTTTGACGCTAAAGGAGAGAAGTTAAAATTGTTAAGATTCTGCTCTCAGAGGACTTTCCAAGGAAGGAAATAATCTTTGTGCCTTAGACAAGAAAACTATATGATACAGAAGCCACATGGGACTAAGTCCTGAATTTCCTTCTATTTATGGTGGCTCAGGATAGTATCACATACAGCAAAAGCTTTATATTTCCCAATACACTGCTATTAGATGTTACGAACAAGTCAGAGAAAGAACTAATTTAGGTTGCCCTTGTTGTGGTCCCTTGTCAGCAGCACTCAAGGAAATGACTGTATTTGATATCAGAAGACATATACCATATTTACTATTCCCAAGCAGTGAGTACCATTGAAGCAAGGCCACAGAAAGAATGTGAGACATATCTGATAACAAAATAGTCACTCTAAATTTCAGAATTCAAACCACACCACAGAAGCATACCCTAAGCCTGGCCCGGCGTGGTGGGGAGGAGAGGAGGACTGAAGAATTTGTATTTTAAAGGAACTAGTATAATAAAAGCCAGCACCACTACTATGTGTGTGAAACATTCATACCTCTGGACTTGTATGTCCTCTTTTAAGGCCATAAGCTGTTCAAGTGGCACTAGCACGCAGAGACATATTTTGGCCTTCTGGGTAGCTCGTGCCCTCTCGGTACACACTATTGAAAGTCTGACAGCATTTCTCAGTGTTCAGACACAGCACAGTCACCAGTGGCGCTTTGTTAAAGCACAGATGCCCCATGCCTGTCTTTTCAGATCTGAAAAAATGTATTTGGGAAAAGCCACACATCTGACTGTGGTACGTGGCCAGTGTTAAAAACTAACTTTGGATTGAAAAGGAAAAAAAAAAGGAAGCCATAATTAAAACTCTAATTCCTTTAAATGAGTCGTTGTGGTAAATATCAGTAACTAAAGAAGTTCACTAGGACTACATCCCTGATTTCACATCAAGGTACCCGAAACCCTAGGAGCTTAGAAGAGAAGTTTAACTTATTATAATCACTCAAGTAATTTCTTTGCCTTTATCTAGGGAATCTGTAGTATTACCCCTTAATTATTAGGAGACAACAAATTACTTCTGATTTCATGTACACTATTACAATGGAAACACTGGTGTCCAAAAGCAGTCATCATTACATACCTCTTTCCTGTCTTCTTCTCCATCCATTCCCAGCTGAAGTGCCAGCGGCACCTGGAATTCGGTGTTTAATTTTGATTGATATTTATCATAAACCTGTTAATGGACAAGATGATTCTTGAATTCATATGAAAATGTAAGGGACCCAGAATAGCTGAGATGATCTTGAAATAGAAGACGAACTTAGAGGATTCATGCTTCCCAATTTCAAAACTTAACTAGAAAACTAAAGTAATCAAGAGAGTGTGGTACCAGCATAAGGACAAACATATAGATCAACAAGACAGAGCCCTGAGCAGTGTCACTTAGTAGGTTGGACATCGTCCCACAAAGTGAAAGATCGAACTTCCAGCCAAGATGGAGGCATAGGTGGAAACACTGTACCTCCATGCACAACCAAATTTAAGGACAACAAAGATTTAGAAACAAAAACACAATCAGAACAGACAGAAAATTGAACTGTACAGAAGTCCGACAACAATGAACCATTTATCCAGACCAGTAAGAGGGGCGGAGTTGGTGGCCAGTGCAGAGGGGTCTCATAGGGAAAGGCAGTGGTTGGCAGACACGGGATTGAGGAGGAAATGAACAAACCCAGTGAGACACATGAGGCAGTTGGCTGACCACAGACACACATTCCTGTGTAGATAAACCAGGCAAAAAATGGAGCAATGAGACAGACTGCGCAACCCAGGGCCCCAGCAACAGGAAATAAGCCTAAAAGCACTGATTGGAAAACACTTGCAGGGGTTGAGGTGCCAGGAGAGGCTCCCAGCCTCACAGGAGAGCTCACTGGGTCCTAGAATGTACATAAGCCCACCCACCCGGGGAACCAGCACCAGAAGGGCCCAATTTGCTTGTGGGAAACAGCAGAGGGGACCGAAATCTGAGAGAGAGTGGAACAAATGCCATCACTCCCTCTCAGACCTGCCCCCAGTCACAACCCAGTGACTATGCTGACTCGCCCCAGTGAATACCCAAGCTTTCGTCCCTCACACGTAACAGGTGCAAACAGACCAAAACATTATGGCTCAAGCAGAAGAACAACTCAAAGCCCCAGAGCCAATACTTCTAAGTGATGATGAGACAGCCAACCTATGAGATGCACAGTTCAAAACACTGGTGGTCAGGATGCTCATAGAATTGGTTGACTCTGGTCGCAAATTAGATGAACAAATGAAGGCTACACTAAGTGAAATGAAGCAAAATGCACAGGGAATCAATAGTGATGGGAAGAACACTGGGACTCAAATCAATGGAGTGGACCAGAAGGAAGAAAGAAACAACCAAACAGAAAAAAAAATGAGGAGAGGTTTAGGAACCTCCAGGACATCTTTAAACGTTCCAGGATCTAAATTATAGGGGTACCACAAGGGGAAGAGGAACAGCAACAAGTGGAAAACTTATTTGAACAAATAATAAAGGAGAACTTCCCCAATCTGGCAAAGGAAATAGACTTCCAGGAAATCTAGAGAGTCCCAAAGAAGGTGGACCCAAGGAGGAACACACCAAGGCACATCATAATTACATTACCCAAGATTAAAATGAAGGAGAGAATCCTAGAAGCAGCAAGAGATAAGGGGACAGTCACCTATAAAGGAGTTCCCATCAGACTCTCAGCTGATTTCTCCAAAGAGACCTTACAGGCAAGAAGGGGCTGGAAAGAAGTATTCCAAGTCATCAAATCCAAAGACCTACAACCAAGATTGCTCTATCCAGCAAAGCTTTCATTTAGAATGAAAGGGCAGATAAAATGCTTCTTAGATAAGGTCAAGTTGAAGGAGTTCATCATCACCAAGCCCTTACTATACAAAATATTAAAGGGACTTATCTAAGAAAAAGAAGATAAAAAATATGAACAGTGAAAGGACAGCAAACTCACAGTGATTAACAACCACACCTAAAATAAAAGCAAACTAAGCAGACAGCTAGATCAGGAGGAGAGCCACAGAAATGGAGACCACCTGGAGGGTTAGCAACAGGGGAGTGGGAAGAGGAGAAGGGGGGAGAAGGTACAGAGAATAAGTACCATAGACGGTGGGGAGAAAATAGACAGGGGAGGGCAAGAGTAGTATGGGAAATGTAGAAGCTAAAGAACTTATGATACATGGACATGAACTAAAGGGGGGGAATGTAGGGGAAAGGGGTGTGCAGGGTGAAGGGGAATGAAGGGGGGGAAATGGAACAACTGTAATGGCATATTCAATAAAATATATTAAAAAAAAAGAAAGACTGCCAGTTCAATCCCTGGTCAGGGCACATGCCTGGGTTGCAGATTTGGTCCCTGGCTGGGGCACATATGAGAAGGCCATGTAGATGTTTCTCTCCCTCTCTTTCTCCCTCTCTCCAAAAATAGATAGTCCTAGATCAACAAAACAGAAATGACAGTTCAAAAATAAACCCTTATATTTTTACACTCAAATGATTTTTGGTAAGAGTGTTGAGAGAATTCAATAGTTAAAAATAATCTTTTCAACAAATAGTATGAGGAAAACCAGATATCCACTTGAAAAAGAATGAAGTTGGACCCCTATATAACACCATATACAAAAATTAATTCAAAGTAAATCACAGACCTAAATCTAAGAGACATAAAATTATCATAGGAACACAAAACAGTAAATCTTCATGACCTTGGATTAGGCAATGATTTCTTATATATAACACCAAAATCAGAAGCTACAAAAGAAAAAGTAGATAAACTGGTCTTCATCAAAATTAACAACTTTTGTGCTACAAAGGAAACCATCAAAAGAGTGAAAAGATAACCCACAGATGAAAAGAAAATGTATAAATCATATAACTAGTAAGAAACCCTTAATGCAGAATATAATAAAAACTCACATAACTCAACAGTCAAAAGACAAATAACACAATTATGAATTACGCAGAGAACCTAAGACAGTTTTCCAAAGAACATATATGAATGGCCAACACACACATGAAAAGATGCTCAAGATTAACCATCAGGAAAACGTAAGTCAACACAGAATGAGATGCTATACCACACCCATTATGACAGCTATAATTAACGGATGGGTAATGACAAGTGCTGGTAGGACATACAGAGCTGGAGCCCCCATATACTGCTGGCGGGAAGGAGACATTATACAGCCACTATGGAGACCAGCATGGCAGCTCCTCCAAAGGCTCAGCATAAAGAGGCACAAGTCCCAGTAATTCCACTCCTATGTACATACCCCAGAGAAATGAAAAGACATCACCCAGAAAGTTGCGCAGAGAGGGTCACAGCACTATTACTCATAATAGCCAAGAAGTGGAAACAATCCAAATGCCCATCACCTGGTAAGTGAATAAATAAAAGGTGCTAAATGCATAAAATGCAATAACATCCAATGCAAAGAATGAAGTGCAACTACATGCAACAAGATCAATGAATTTTGAAAACATGATGCTCGGTGAAATAAATCAGTCACAAAAGGCCATATATGGCATGATCCCATTTATATGAAATGCCCAGAAAAGGCAAATCTAGAGGGACAGAAAGTAGATTGGCGGATGCCTAGGGCTGGGGGTAGGGGTGAGGGGAAAAGGGCTGCTAGTGAGTATGGGACCTTTTGGGGTGATGAAGATGTTCTGAAATTGACTGAGCAAACTAAGGCAATGTCTGCACAGCCTTTGAATATATCACAAACACAGAATTGTACACTTTCAATGAGTGAATTGTAGGGTATGTAAATTAGAGTCATTCCTCCTTCTTCATATATTCCTTATTTATTAATTCACCTATTTGCTAAAATTTCTTTGTAATTCCAAGACCCACAGTTGCAGAGTTTCTGTGGTCATTTGCAGACGTGCACAAAGCTGTGAACATTCGCGCTGCCAGAAGCACGTGTTATCAGCTGAGGCGGGACAAGGCTCTGTTTCAGCCTTCATACAGTAAACCACAGCCCTTTTCAAGGTTTAGTTAGTGCCAAGGCTTTTGCTTTTTGTTGGTGAATTTACTGTTTAAAATGGCCCCTAAGCACAATGCCACTATCTAGCACTCTTAAGCCTAAGAAGGCTGTGATGCGTGATGCATATTGTGGAGAATATACATGTATTAGAAAAGCTTTATTCAGGCATAAGCTTCAGTGCTATTGGCCCCAAGTTCAATGTTAATGAGTCAAAAATCTACAGGGTGGTGCAAGAGTAAGTTTACAGTTGTTCATATGGAAAATAATACAATAATTAATAAATAATACAAGAATGAACTGTGTTTCACATACCCACAACTACGAACCTACTTTTGTCCCATCCTATGTATTAAGTAAGGGGTTTTTAAACAAAAATCCACATAAAACAAGGTAACGTACTGATCAGCTGACAGAAATGTGATCAGAGGCTCACAGGAACCTAACCCTGGTCCCTCCCCAACCCCAGGAGCAAAGGTCCGGGGTTCGCCCCTTCGGTGTGGGAGGCCACCCTGCAGACCACCACTGCAGTGAGTAAGGAGACTGACTGTGCCCCTCAATAAGGTTGTCATTTTCAAAGTTATTGGTTTGTCTTAGATAAAACTGGAAAATAAGAAATAGCAAAAGGCTAATGATGGTTCTCTCTGGAGTTTTCTTCTTTGTTTACTTTTTGTTACAATAAAAATGAAATTATTTTCTGCTTTCAAAAAAGTAAGAACTGAACTTGCAGCTTGGCAAAGCAGTGAGCCCGCTTCTGGCCTCTTCGACATCGCTGACTGTCACCCTGAGTGTGGCCTGTGGTATCACAGAGGGCAGGGCACGGGCAGCCTGAAGAAGAGCAAGGCGGAAAGGGGGCCCTTCAATTCTGCATGTGGACTGGCCCATACTCCAGCGTCGAGGCGAGCTGTGCGTGCGTGGGCCAGACCCGGAGGAGTCCAACCAAGACTGAAGTGAGAACTGAACTGACTCTGGAGCCACTGTCCACAGACGGGGAGGGACCACTGAGAGCCTGAACCTAACCAGGCTGATGCCTGCTGCAACAAGCCAACAAAAAAGATGCGCCATTCTATAGAGGATTTTATCAGCTGTCTTACGATATAACATTCAAAACCGAACCCAGGAGAAAAAGTGGCAAGAGAATCCAGAATATGAATCCAAAGAGAGAGGACGCTTCCTCTGGGGCGGTAGGAACAGGAAGAATGGCAAAGATTAAATGGCTGAGGCAGTTACTGCGTGATGGCTTGTATTTTCTTTAGGAAAGCCAGAGAGTACTGGGGAGCAGCAAGAACTTTAAGAGGCGTTTAAGGTTTAGAATTACCAGTGTGGGCTATGGGAATGGCAGGCAAGAAAAGTGCTACGCAGTACCATGGCCCCAGCTGGGACTGTAAACGCTAGTTCAAATGTGGTTCAAATCTATGTGAATAAAGTGTTTTCTCCCATAAGGCTCAATTATTTGGGAACCTAAAATGACAAAGGACTGACTAAGGGCTGAGGATTTTCAGGGCTAGTACAGCAGGACAAGAAGAGGCCGTGACTACAAAGCCATACACCCTCCTTGGAAAGTCGGAGTTAGGCGCCCCTCACGGTGCTCAGTGAACGTGTGCGCCCCCTCCAGCTAGTTGTGTTGCCTCCTAACCATCGCCTTACCTCTGGTCTCTCCTCTTCAGAAATGTGAGTGCTGTGTCTTGTCCGGAGCTCTGTCTTTGACAGTCAGTACCCAGATAATGGCTAGCCCCTCACAGGTGCTCAGTGAGTGAGTGACTGGCTCATGGATGTGGAACACGTTGAGGAAGATATGGGCAGGGACTGGCGCTGTGCTAAAGGCCGCCCACACACTGGTAAGCAGAACAGGCGTGGTGCCTCCCCTCCCGAAGCTTACAGACCACTGGGAAACATGTCAATAAGGAAACAATTACACAGTGTACAAAGTGTTTTGTGTACTGAGAAGGTAACAAATGCAAGAATAAAATATTAAGAGGAGAACTTATTTTCGATCAATTGCTCAGGGCCGTCTTTTCTAAGGAGGGGGCATTTTAGCTGAAACCTGAAGGATAAGAAAGGACCAGTTTTGTGAAGAAAAAAAGAAAAGGATATCCAGTAGAGAAAATAAATGCAAAAGACCTGAGGTAGGAAATTGCCTGGCACACTTCAGAATACACAAACGACGATGCAGGAAAAAACCACAGACAGCATCCCCTTAGGCCGACCTTACAGACACAAACAAAAAATCCCAAGAGCAGGTAGTTCAGTTCTCAACACCTCAGCCCAAAGCATACTTTCTGCCTCCTTTTCTTTCTCCTCACTTAACAGGGCCAAAAGGAAAATTCTCTTTATCACTTTCACATATTACAATATGTGAAGACTATTTTTAAAATAATGACATAAACTCTCAATATAGAAATTATCCAGACGGTGGTAAAATTCTAATGGGAATAAAGTAGATTCAGTTAAGCCATGGAAAAAGCATAGCAGGCCAGGTTCTTTAGTAATTTTTTGAACAACTATTGATCTTAACACACCAAAACTTCGGGAATAAATCATAACTCTAACGAGCTCCAGCCCAGACTATGAACAGTGTTTTTCTTGGTGACCCTGCCTGATGCTCCACCAGCTAACTGCTGGGCACCTAGTCCTGGCCGTCGGGTAAAAGATCCTCCTGACCCCTCCTCCTCAAAAGCCACTCATTTCTTCTCCTCTCAAACCACATATACAATGACCACCAGAAATACACATTTTATAAGGAACACACATATTAAAATATGTTGTCCAACAGGCAACAGTCGCCCTGACAATAGCCCGGGTTTCACTGAGAGCCCCAGAGCAACCTTAGGTCAGCCCAGGTTTCACACACTATGAAATCAAACAAGAATCTTTTTTTTTATTTACAAAGTATTTTATTTCATTATTTTAAAATATATTTTATTGATTATGCTATTACAGTTGTCCCATTTTCCCTTCACTCCCCTCTACCCTGCACACCCCCTCCCACTCCCATTCCCCCCTTTAGTTCATGTCCATGTGTATCAAGTTCTTTAGCTTCTATATTTCCCATACTATTCTTGCCCTCCCCGTCTATTTTCTACCTACAGTCTATGCTACTTATTCTCTGTACCTTCTCCTCCTTCTCTTCCCACTCCCCTGTTGCTAACCCTCAATGTGATCTCCATTTCTGTGGTTCTGTTCCCGTTCTAGTTGTTTCCTTAGTTTGCTTTTGTTTTAGGTGTGCTTGTTAATAACAGTTTGCTATCTTTTTACTGTTCACATTTTTAATCTTTTTCTTAGATAAGTCCCTTTAACATTTCATATAATAAGGGCTTGGTGATGATGAACTCCTTCAACTTGACCTTATCTGAGAAGCACTTTATCTGCCCTTCCATCCTAAACGAAAGCTTTGCTGGATAGAGTAATCTTGGATGTAGGTCCTTGCCTTTCATGACTTGGAATACTTCTTTCCAGCCCCTTCTTGCCTGTAAGGTCTCTTTGGAGAAATCAGCTGACAGTGTGATGGGATCTCCTTTGTAGGTGACTGTCCCCTTATCTCTTGCTGCTTCTAGAATTCTCTCCTTCATTTTAATCTTGGGTAATGTAATTATGATGTGCCTTGGTGTGTTCCTCCTTGGGTCCACCTTCTTTGGGACCCTCTAGATTTCCTGGAAGTGTATTTCCTTTGCCAGATTGGGGAAGTTCTCCTTTATTATTTGTTCAAATAAGTTTTCCACTTGTCACTGTTCTTCTTCCCCTTCTGATACACCTATAATTTGGATGTTGGAACATTTAAAGATGTCCTGGAGGTTCCTAAGCCTCTCATTTTTTCGAATCTTTGTTTCTTCATTCTTTTCTGTTTGGTTGTTTCTTTCTTCCTTCTGGTCTACTCCATTGATTTGAGTCCCAGTGTTCTTACCATCACTACTGGTTCCCTGTGCATTTTGCTTCATGTCACTTAGTGTAGCCTTCATTTTCTCATCTCATTTGTGCCCAAAGGCAACCAATTCTGTGAGCATCCTGATCACCAGTGCTTTGAACTGTGCATCTGCTAGGTTGGTTATCTCTTTGTTGCTTGGATGTATTGGCTCTGGGGCTTTGATTTGTTCTTCCATTTGAGCCTTTTTTTGTGTGTGGGGGGAGTCTGGTCTCGCCTGTTAAGTATGAGGGGCGGAGCCTTAGGTGTTTACCAGGGCAGGGCAACCCTGTGGCTGGGTTATGACTCTAAATGTGGAGGCAGGGTTAGAGAGGGAACAATAGCTCTTGCTTTGCTCTCTCTCAGATTTCAGTCCCTTCTGCTGCTTCCCCTGAGCAAATTGGGCCCTTCTAGTGCTGGTTCCCCGAGTGGGTGGGCTTGTGTACATTCTATGACCCTGTGGGTCTCTCCAGCAAACTCTCCTGTGAAGCTGGGAGTCTCTCCTGGCACCTCAACCCCCACAAGTGTTTTCAATCGGTGCTTTTAGGCTTTATTTCCCAGCGCTGGGGCCCGGGGTTGCACGGTCTGTCTCACTGCCCGTTTTCAGCTGGCTTATCTGCACATGAATGTGTGACTGTGGTCAGCCAGCCACCTTGCACGCCTCACTGGGTCTGCTCATTGCCACCCCACACCCGGGGTCTGCCAACCACCACCTGCTTGCCCGGGTCCGCCAGCCACCGCTTTTTCCTGCTAAGACCCCTCTCAGCTGGCCACCAACTCCACTCCTCTTACCAGTCTGGATGAATGGTTGTTGGACTTCTGTACAGTTCAATTTTCTCTCAGTTCTGGTTGTTTCTTTGTTTCTAAATTTTCGTTGTCCTTAATTTTGGTTGTGTGAGGAGGCATAGTGTGTCTACCTATGACTCCACCTTGGCCAGAAGTCCAAGGATCTGCTTTTTGCTAGCCTTACCACTCCTAGCTCAGTAAGCACCTGTCAGCCTGTTTTAATCTAGTGTTCATCCTCTACGGTTTGCTACCTGTCTTCTGCTGGAAGCCTCTTGAACATGCTTGGGTGGAAGATGCTGAAGGCCATCCTGAAGCAGATCTCCCCTCCTTTCCACTGTCCCGCCAGTCGGCTGCTGCCCAAGGTAGAAGCTCTGAAGGATACAGAAGCACCCACCCCGCTGCGTGAGCAGTGGCACTATCGTGGTAAAAATGCTGTAGGCGGCAACAGTGGCCCCAAGGTCATCTAAAGAGGTCAGAATAGTCTGACACATTATGGCATAAAAGTAGACATTATACTTCTTGCCAGTATAATGGATCTTAACAGTATCCACAAAGCGTTAAGTTTTACCTACAAAACAAGAATGATAATAGAATCTATCTCCCAGGGTTATTGTGAGAATTAATTGAGACAATGGATATAAAGTTCTAAAACAATTTTAGCCATGGGTAAGTGCTTAAGAATGTAAGCTGTTAATCACAATATCAATATTATTATTAATAAGAGACAATGCCATCATCATCATCATCACCGTTGTCCATAGCCTAGCTCTGCAAGCTCAGAGCAAACTCCAATTTACTTTTTGCTGCTTATTCTTTGCTCTGCTCTGCCTGCTCGCTGACAGAGCCTGGATCCTGGATGTCACGTAAGACATATTCATAGCCCCCCAGGAATAACCCCCCTCTCCACAGTGGGGCCGGCTCAGAGTCGCCGTGCTGGGAGGCAACATAACCCTGAACATTGGTTTTCCCAGCAGAGGCACCATCAGGGCAGCAACCGGTCAGAATGGAGTGACACCTCACAGAATGATAGGATATTGCATCTTCGTCCATTATTACTGACCTTAAAACTAAACCCCTGGGGCAGTAACTACATTGCCCTGTCAATCTCAAGCCAAAACAAGTGATTTGCTCCCTGACACTGACTCCTCACTGAAGCACGCTCTGTTTATTCTCTGGAAAAGGCTTGGTCTTGAATACTGGGCAAAACGCACCGATGGCACTCCAGAACCAATTCCTCTCCCAAACTCTCAGCTCTCGAAAAATGGGGTTGCTCAATATATCTGTTTTAAAGGAATAACAAAATACAAAACTGCCTAAGCAGAAATGAGGAGTTAGTGACAATGACATAGATCTTAGTGACAGTCCCAGAATAATGAGACGAGGGTAAGTTAACGGTTAGGGGTGTGTGTGTGTGTATTTAATGTAAAACTTCCAACCACACAACAAAGTGGGAGTACAAACAGCACAATGAATCCCAAGGTGCCACCGCCCAGCGTCAACAATCAGCAACATTTTATTTTTTCATTGATCTCTTTGCCCACTTTTTTCCTGGAGTATTTTAAAGCAAATCCCAGATTATTCTGCCACTTTTTTTTTCTGCACAGGGAGTCTTCATTCAACAACACATTTGAAAGAAAATAAGGCAACAAGACAATATTTTTATAACACTGCCAGCACTTTCCCAAGGTGCTTACCAGCCAGGACGCAAGCTGGTAGCATTTCCACAAGTACTCCTACTTGGTGTCCCCCCAAAATTCTGTGCACAAACACTAGAGGTGGTAACATTCTGGAAGTTCTAAGACAGAAAGCAGCTTGTCTTGCTCTTCACCACAGCTCTTTACAAACCATGTGCCTGGGTTGGTGCACTGTTCCAGTCGACAAGAACAGAATCCCTTCAGTACTTACAAGACAGTATATAAGATCAAATAAATATGCTAAATGACTTGAGATAAAAAAAAAGCTTACTATTAACCAATCAGTATTATATAAAACCTGTCTCCCACTTAACCCAAATGATGGAGGTATGCTTTCTCACCTGGAGTTTTTAGAATGGGCTCATTTTGAAATAATTTAGCCTAACTCTAGAAGCCCTAATCCTCTGTATCCCATGCATTTATTTATATAGCTTGACAAGCTCCAGTCCAAATCCTAAGTGATTTTGTCTCTGTTACTCTTTTGGAAAACGACATTCCTCCCACGGTGGTCTGCTCTACCTGATCTCCAGAGGATGCTTGAGGGCTGACATAGCGACGGCACTCCAGAGGCAAGTCATCTTGCACGGTCTCTTCTCTTATAGAAGATGGCGGCAGCTTGAAAAAGGTGTTCTAAAGGAACAGCAGAAACAGAAAAGGAACCGTCCACCCAGGGTAGCAGGCTAATCACAACATGCTGGGCTGTGGTGAGAACTCCAGGGAAACAGTACCAGGTGAAGACATTATGGTACCTTTTCATCTGAACAAGGATGTAACATTTTTAGCTCAACTCTGTAGACCTTAAATTTTAATCCCAAACCATATACATGACAAACTCCTCAAATGTTAAGTAATTGAGGATCTGCTGTTTCTTCCCACATGACTCATGTAGGGGGCAGTTACCGGAAGGTAATTGTATGGACTTCAGCAAAAGCTGCAACATCATCTTTGTGAATTAAAACGGTCTGATTCTACAATAAGAATGTGGACATGGGCCCTGGCTGGTGTAGTTCAGTGGATTGAGCGCGGGCCTGTGAAGCAAAGGATCGCGGTTCAATTCCCAGTCAGGGCACATGCCTGGGTTGCAGGCCAGTTCCCAGTGGGATACACATGAGAGGCAACCATACATTGATATTTCTCTCCCTCTCTCCTTCCCTTCCCCTCTCTGAAAATAAATAAATAAAATATTTAAAAAAAAAGAATGTGGACATGGTTTATCAGCCTTGTGAATGACAGAGCTGATTTGACTGAGACAGTTCATTAGACCAGGGACTTCTGCACCTGACTCTACCCTTCACATTACCAGAGGCTGAGAATGTCTAAAATCCAGCCGCCTGAAGTCCTGTGCCTCCTTCTCTTATTCTGTTCTACCTGATCTCTGACAAACGCCTGGGCCTGGACTTCAGGAGTCAGACTGATAACCTGCTGGAGAAAAGTCATCTTTCCCTTTCTGCTTTATCACATCATAATATGGCTCCTTGAAGCATACTTTGTAAAAGAAACAATACAAACTGTAAATCATTTAGTAGGAGTAATATAGCAATAATATTCAAGGCTTCATTAAGAACCTTATGGTAATTTTTAAAACTCAGGATAATGTGAAATTCTATGGAATAAAATGGAAAACCATACTTCTTGTCAGTTCTAAAGTCTAGCTGAGAACAATCTTTGCAAGCTCCAAACTGAACCCTGTACAACTCAGTTCCTGCTGGCCTCTCTCCTTCCTCCCTCCGCTGATGGGGACCTGAGCTTGGTACCTATGGGGAAGATGCTGATAAACATCTGAAGGAAACGCCTCTCTCCCTCCGCTATCAAAATTGATGCTGGCTGCTTTAAATTGTTTTCTTAAAAAAAAAGAACACAAAATATCGAGTGTTCAGATAAGAAAGACAGTTTAACCAATAAAACTTTAGGCTATAGGGAAAATTTGGAGTTATCCGAGGTCAGAGTTTAACTGGACATCTTATGGAATAAAACATACCCTATACTCTAATCCATATAAGACCAGCTTCATCCCTAAGAAATGTATTTCCTTTCTTCTCATTTTGGCTTAACTGACCTCTGCTGGAGGGCTGGCCTTGGAACCCGTATTAACAAGTGCTGGTGGACAGTGGTGGGATACTCTTTTATCCATCCTTCAGGTGTCAAAGATGACAGCTGCCAGAAATAGTCTCCCTAACGAAGATTTTTTTAAGTAAATTGTCCAGACAGGGGTAATATGTTGCTGATATTACTTTAAGACTCAATGAGAACTCTAGAGTTTTTAGAAATTAACCAGAAAATTATTTTTCCAACTACAAATCTCCAAATCATTTGCAATATTGTCCCCACAAATCCAACTCCAAACCTTAAGTAGCTTATTTCTTCTTGCCATATCTCCTATCCACTCTATTTTACCTGGTATCTGGGTAGAAAGTCCTGGTCTTGACATCTGGGCAGAATATTCTTTTCTCCAGACAAAACACACTGGTCTCTGGGTAGAAAATGCTGCTCTTGAAATCTGAGTAGAACGTGCTGATCTTTGGGCACAAAATCCTTGTTTGGACATTTTGGTATAAAATCTGGGTCCTGACATTTGGGTTGAATAGTCTGGACTTTGCATAGAAAATGTTGGTCTTGACATACAAGTGGAATATTCTTGTCATTGGGTAGAAAGTTCTGGTCCTGACATGTGAGTGGAACACTCTGGTCTTCAGGTAGAAAAGCCTGATTTGGGGATAGAAACTGCTGGACTTCCAACTGAATACTTTCATCTTCAAGGTCAACACTGTGAGCTTCCAGCATAATACCCTGAGTTTCTGTCTTAACCTGGGCTTTGGGCTCCACAGCTTGGCCTTCGGGCTCAAGAGCCTGAGAGCGCAGCTCCATATTCTGGGCTTCCAGCTCAGTACTCTGGACTCCTGTCAGATCACCGTGGGCTTCTGGAAGGTAATCCTGGGTTTCTGGCAGAATATCCTGTGGGCCCTGAAGGTGTACCTTCTTTGGTTCTTCCTCTTTCATCACAGCAAATAATGGATTTTTGAATTGTATTTTCTAAAAGTGAACATAAACATCAAATATAGAATTCCAGGTAGTAGAAACACTATGTTTTCCACAAGACTCCTAAAACAATCTTGAAAGGATACAGTAGCCAAACAATTATTAGAACAAAATGTGAAATCATAGTCTTTGCTCAGCTTAACCTAGATCTACAATCCCAAACCAGTACAACAATGCTGGCATCCCTGGTCCACGGTGTAATTAGTTTAATTTCTACTACACCATCTCCTTTCACTCTGCTTTACCCGAACTCTGCTGAGAGGTTTGTCCTTGTCTTCCAAAAGCAGATCCTGTTGGTCCGACCAAAACAAATTTTCTCTCCCTTTCTTGTCTGTTGTAACAGATGAAGATTCCTCAGAGTCCGGTTCCTAAAGAACACACAAAATTTTTTTAAATTAAAAATCTTCAAAACCCCAAATGTATCTATTTCAGGAGAAAAATGTGATTGCGATAAAATCCTAGGCTTCAGCACACTACTACCATAGTGTCAGTAGGTCAGTGTGGTCAAATATTATAAAAACAGGACATCGCAAGAGAAGTGCAAGAAGGTACACTGAAAACTATAAAACAGTGTTGAAATGAATTAAAGAAGATCTAAATAAATAGAAAAGTCCCCATCTTCATGGATCTCTGAGGACACTATTGTAAAGACAACAATAAACTCTTACATTTACAGACAACTAATTTTCAACAAGAGTGTAAAGACAATTAAATGGAGAAAACAGCATTTTCAAAAAATTGTTTTGGGACAGGTAGATATTCACATGCAAAAGAATTAAGATAGAACACTTCCCCAATGCCAAAGATAAAAATTAACTACAATGGATCATAGACCTACACGTAACAGCTAAACTACAGAACTATTAGAAGAGCATATAGGAGAAAATCTTCACAACTGCAGATAAAGCAGTGGTTTAATAGATGCCACACCGAAAGAACAAGCAGCAACAACAACAAAAAACAGATAAACTCTGCTACACCAAAATGTAAAAATCTGTGCTGCAAATGACAGCATTAAGAAAGTGAAATGACAACCCACAGAATGGGAGAAAATTCTTGCAAATCATGTATCTGATCTGTACCCAAAATATATAAAGAACTCTTACAATTTGATAATAAAATGACAAATAAGCCAATTATAAAAAGGGTATCACACTGACATTTTCTTCACAAGAAATATGTAAGTGGGCAAAAAGCACATGAAAAGATGCTCAAGATCATTATCAATTAGGAAAATATAGATCAAAAGTAAGATGCTACCACTTCGTACTCACTAGGATGGCTGTACTCCAAAAGAGGGACCAGACTTCCGGCCAAGATGGAGGCATAGGTAGACACACTGTGCCTCCTCGCACAACCAAAAATTAAGGACAACAAATATTTAGACACAAAAAAACAACCAGAACTGAAAGAAAATTGAACTGTACAGAAGTCTGACAACCATTCATCCATACTGGTAAGAGGGGTGGAGTTGGCGGTCAGCTGAGAGGGGTCTTGGCAGAAAAAAGCAGTGGCTGGCGGACCTGGGTACACAGGCAGCAGTTGGCAGACCCCGGGTGTGGGGTGGCAATGAGCAGATCTAGTGAGGCGTGCAACGTGGTTAGCTGATCACAGTTACACATTCGTGCGCAGATAAGCCAGACCAAAATGAGCAATAAGACAGACTGTGCAACCCCGGGCCCCAGAGCCAGAAAATTAAGCCTAAAAGCACCGATTGAAAACACTTGTGGGGGTTGAGGTGCCGGGAGAGACTCCCAGCCTCACAGGGGAGTTCTCTGGAGAGACCCACAGGGTCATAGAACATACACAAGCCCACCCACCTGGGGAACCATCACCAGAAGGGCCCAATTTGCTTGAGGGAATTGGCAGAGGGACTGAACTCTGAGAGCAAAACAAGCACCACTGTTCCTTCTCTAACCCCGCCCCCACATTTAGAGTCACAACCCAGCCACAGGGTTGCCCTGCCCTGATGAACACCTAAGGCTCTGCCCCTCACACTAACAAGTGCAACCAGACACCCCCCCAAAAATAGCTCAAACAAAAGAACAGATCAAAGCCCCAGAGCCAATACATCTAAGCAACAAAGAGACAGCCAACCTATCAGATGCACAGTCCAAAGCACTGGTGGTCAGGATGCTCGCAGAATTGGTTGCCTTTGGGCACAAATGAGATGAGAAAATGAAGGCTACACTAAGTGACATGAAGCAAAATGCACAGGGAACCAATAGTGATGGGAAGAACACTGGGACTCAAATCAATGGAGTAGACCAGAAGGAAGAAACAACCAAACAGAAAAGAATGAAGAAACAAAGATTCGAAAAAATGAGGAGAGGCTTAGGAACCTCCAGGACATCTTTAAATACTCCAACATCCGAATTATAGGGGTACCAGAAGGGGAATAGGAACAGCAACAAGTGGAAAACTTATTTGAACAAATAATAAAGGAGAACTTCCCCAATCTGGCAAAGGAAATACACTTCCAGGAAATCTAGAGAGTCCCAAAGAAGGTGGACCCAAGGAGGAACACACCAAGGCACATCATAATTACATTACCCAAGATTAAAATGAAGGAGAGAATTCTAGAAGCAGCAAGAGATAAGGAGACAGTCACCTACAAAGGAGTTCCCACCACACTGTCAGCTGATTTCTCCAGAGACCTTACAGGCAAGAAGGGGCTGGAAAGAAGTATTCCAAGTCATGAAATCCAAAGACCTACAACCAAGATTGCTCTATCCAGCAAAACTTTCATTTAGAATGAAAGGGCAGAAAAAGTGCTTCTCAGATAAGGTCAAGTTGAAGGAGTTCACCATCACCAAGCCCTTATTCTATAAAATGTTAAAGGGACTTATCTAAGAAAAAGAAGATAAAAAAGATTAACAGTGAAAGGACAGCAAACTCACAGTTATTAACAAGCACACCTAAAACAAAAGCAAACTGAGTGGACAGCTATATCAGGAGTGGAGCCACAGAAATGGAGATCTCATGGAGGGTTAGAACAGGGGAGTGGGAAGAGGAGAAGGGGGGAGAAGGTATAGAGAATAAGTAGCATAGATGGTAGGTAGAAAATAGACAGGGGGAGGGCAAGAATAGTATGGGAAATGTAGAAGCTAAAGAACTTGAGACACATGGACATGAACTAAAGGTGGGGAATGTGGGTGGGAGGGGGTGTGCAGGGTGGAAGGGAATGAAGGGGGAGAAATGGGACAACTGTAATAGCATAATCAATAAAATATATTTTATAAAAGAGGGATAGTACCAAGGATGGGAGTGGGTGTGAGGAAACAAACCCTCACACACTGCTGATGGGAAATGGCTGGGCTGTTTCCTATCAGCCATAATACACGAAGTCATCACATCACCCAGAATTTCCACTAACTAGAGAAATGAATATCCACACAAAAACATGTACATGACTGCTCACAGCACAATTAGTTATAAAAGCTGAGAAATGGAAACAACCAAGACATCCATCAACTAACTGATGAGTGGATACACCAACGTGATATGGCCATATGATGGAATATTACTCAGCGGTAAGAGGAAGTGTTGATACACACTACAAGTGAGTGAACTAGAAAATATTATGCAAGGTAAGAGAAGCCAGTCACGGAAGACCACATCTGATGATTCCATTTACATGAGATACCACAACAAGCAAATCTGCAGAGACGGAAGGTAGATCAGTGAGTGGTTGTTTAGGACTGGGGACAGGGACAGAGGGAATTAAAACGACAGCTGACAGGTACAGGGCTTCTTTCAGGGGTGAAGAGAATGCTCTGATTTAGATTGTGGTGAGTGTTGCAGAACCCTGAGAATACATTAAAAACCACTGAATTGTACAGTTTAAATGGGTGAATTGTTTGGGTATGTGAATTATACATCTCAACAAAATTTTTTTTAAAAATACAAGTGATAAGCTTAACCCTTAAACCCATCCTTCAATAGCTGTGGATAGCTCTAACAAGCCATTCTTTCCTCACCTTCGCACTTTACATTTTCCTACCTGACTTTGCATAAATCTGTGGTACTCTGCAGTACTTAAAGACCTTGATAACCCTTAAAGGGTAGCTCTCCTTTAGTTCCTATGTTTACCCTGATGGGTGCTGGTTTCCTACAAAGTGCTTTCTGAAGAAAATCAATACAAATATAAATGGTCTAGAGAAAGCAATATGGCAATATGCTCATGAGAATAAGGTGGGTTTGTATGAAAGATCTGGCCTGATCTTAGCAGGTTATGCTAATCTAATATACAATAAAAAACAAATAGTTCAACTCCGAATGCACAAATGTACAAATAAGTCATTCACACATCAAACATGGAGTGAAACAGGCTGTGATTTATAAATGACAACCTGCCCCTATACTAGTCAGTAACAATTTCGGAAGGCTTAGGATTTTGTCTTGGTGACCGGACAGAGGGCAAGCAAGTACATCTTCGATTTATATCTTCAAATCTGGAACAATAAGAACAACCAGATGGGGTGTAATGTCAGTAAAAATTAAGTCTGACAAGGCAACGAAACCAGAGCTCAGACAGGTCACAGACTGTTGTCCTTTATAACTGGAAGACTCCCACTTCAGACAACCAAGGAAATAGAAAACTGCGGGTTTGAGGGAAAGACTACATACTTGACATACAGAAAAATTTCACTAATTTCTTAACCATTCTGAATTATAAGAGTACATTTGTTTCTGATGTTATATCAAAAAACATACATGTGCTGTTTAGAATCAAACAGCAGACTGAATTCATCATCATCGTTATCGAATAAAAATGTATTACACTTAAACGGCACCTTTGACATATAAAACTGGTTTATACAAGAATGTTATCTCAGACTTAATCCTCCTTCCTCCTCCTGGATAATTATTTCAGTCAGACCTGTGGGCAGTACTCTTTGTGGAAAAACAATTGAATGGTTTGAACATGCTCCATACAATATAAAATACCAGTCTCTAAAACCTGATAACCCTTTTTTCTGATTTATCAGAAGGTGTCCAGCTGCCTCATTCTAACAAGATCCTAGAGTCAATCTACAGCCCTGACTATAGTATGGTAAGTCACTGAGGAGAATTTAAGTGCAAAAGAAACTCTATATGAGTCACAGTAAGACGATGCTAGAAAAAGGTAACCGTTCTGAAGCATCTAAGATAAAATACGGTATGTGGAAATACACCACATCTGCTTGTGTTTTTATATTTCACTAGAAATTTCTTAATTCACACTGGAGAGGAGGACATTATAGTTTAGTATTCTACCAACTGCAAACGTATCAGTGACAAAGGTTCGTGACTATTGTGTGGAAATACTTAAGGAAAAAAATACCAAAAGTAAACATATAGGCATAATCTAGGAAAATGTAAAAGAATACTAAATAGGAAGCAAAACCAAGAAAGAACTAAATAAGACACAGAGTTGATAATGTAAAAAAAAAAAGTAAAAAAGACTAATAGTTGATTTTTTGAGATTCTGCCTATCAAAACTTAAAATTAACCCTAAAATCAAGTAAACACAAGAAAGTGTAGAGTTTAGCATTTAAATCTGTGAGCCCTGAAATAAGTAGGAACCAAAGCAATGCTGCTTTACAAGTATAGCCGTAAATATCATTTTAAGTCCAGTTCCACATTTGGGTTCCAATTATTCACTCTTACTTTATCTTTTGAATCAAAACAATTTCTTCTAAAAAAAAAACTAGTATTTTTTCTTAATTATAAAGCAAAATATATACAATACAGAAAATTTTTGAAAAAAAACAGGAGAAAAAAAAAATCCCCTGTAATAAAACGACCCAGAAACAACCAGTGTTGACTGACCCCCTGGTCTATGCACACGGCGTTCTCTCCATTTTGCTTCAGTTTTTTCATAACACTTCTCACTTGAAATTATATTCCATGTGGAATAGAACAGACATCAATTTGTGTATTTGTCACATGCCTCCCCACTAGCACATAAGCTCCTCAAGGGACCTTGGGCCTCCTTCTGCCACTGTAAACCCTGCCCCCGGAACAGCGCCTTGGCAACTGCAAATGTCCTGTCAATATTGGCTGAATACATTTTTAAATTGAGGTTATTGTATGTAATTTTGTATTCTACTTTTTTCACTGAACTTTACATCACAGACACCTTCCCTTGTCTTCAGATGTTCTTTGAAAGCATATTTTTGAGAATGGCTATATAGAAATACATCATAATTTTTTAACCATTCCCTACTATTGGATATTTAAGGTTATTTCCAATTATTTTATAGGTCTAAATAATGGTGAGATGAGCTATAAATAAATCTTCATCTGTATTTTTATCCCTACTTTTAAAAACAATTTATTAAAAATTAATTTACCTCTTGGGTGGGAAAGCTGTTCCTTGTTTCATCTGGAACCACTGATACATTTTTTTTACTCATAGTTTTAAAGGATGCCAGCTGGTGACGTGCCTGTTTCATGGTTTGACTAAGCTGCCAGGAAAAGAGGAGAAAAACAAACAAAAACTGGATGAAGTCTTAATACCAAATCCACTAGTGTTCCAACATGAAAACAGGCCCCTATTATTAAAAAATGCCAGACCTGAGACAAGAGGATTACTTGCACAGGAGACCAGGACCTGCTGATAGTGTTGTTTCAACACTATTTTTTTTGTCATTCTAAGAGACTGATTTCATAACTTGATTATAAGTGCCATTACTCAAGTTGTTTTATATTATGTACAAAAAATGCATGTTTTATATTATGTACACAAAAATATCAGAACCTGAAAGTTTTAATACACTTAGAAATCACTAAACAGACACACTCCTTACCTTCTATCCATCTTCTCAATAAGGAATTATTCCTTTATTTCCTCAACTGGCCCTCGCATGCCTAATTGTCTTTTATCACTCCTCGCTAGATTTCTCTATTCCTAGTCCTCCTAAAATTCTTCCTTCCATTTACATAAATCCCTCCTTCACCAGTAAGTTAAATAAGAACACAAACTCAAACATCTCAACAGAACCAATCAGTTTTAAGTACTCTAAGTAACAGCTGATAATGAGCATTAATATGCTAAATATGTTGACTTTGTGTTTACTCCTAATCTCTGCCCAGTAATTTCAGTAAGCAGCTACTCTGATTTCTTTTTCAGAGAAGCACAGCTTTCACAAATATGTAAAGAATGTTTCTTTAAGGAAAGTACAGAAATGAGCAAAGTACCTTTTTTTTTTAGGCTGAGCACTACATAGCACATGGAAGAGAAGCATATCCCTTTATTACTCAATAAAACTAGAGCAAAGCAGGGACCAGCTATAACCCAACTGGTGAAGGTTTAAAAAGATTAATTCTTCTTTGAAGGGAAATCATGACTATGATCTACTGATATAAATAATAAACGCTTTATGATTTTTACTAATAGTGATCTAGGGACAAAAACACTCTCACTCCCAGCCCAGTTTCCTTTCAGCATATCACCTCTGTTTTGTCTTTGCTTCTAGAAGGTCTGCACCTCAAGCCAGAGAAATCAGCTTGAAACAGCACTCTTCATTCTAAGAGTAAGATTTCTATATTTGGTTAGTTAGCACAGAGTGGCTAAAGAGGTCACAACAGTTACTTACAGTGCAAAGAAAGATACATGTACAGTTGAGGTTATGAAAAAATACAAAGCCATGAATATGCCTACTTTTACTCATTGCCAAGTGCAATACATGTTACTGCCTTGCACTATGTAGAAGGTTTAAATCAGAGTCCACAATTTCTCTTTCCCATCAAGTCTAAGCCTCTATTAAAGTCACAGATTGATTTTAGTCCCTTAAACAGGAATTCAACTGGCCCAGCAGCCGGAATATACATTATATTCATTCTGTTCTCTGCCATTACCAACACCCTTCATGAAACCTCAGCCCAAAGGCCCTTTCAATGAGCTGCTATGAGAACTGAACAATGACTACCGGAAAATATCCGGTCCTAATCCCTGAAACCTTTTAACTGTGTCTTTAAAAGGAGAAAGGACCTTTGCAGGAGTGATTAAGTCAAAGATCTTGAGATGAGGAAATAATACTGGATTATCCAGATGGGTCCTAAATGCCATCACAAATACCCTCATAAGAGGTAGGGAAGATCTGACATGCAGAACAGGGGAGGGTGATGGAAAGACAAAGGCAGGGACTGTTCTACGGTGGCTGCGAGCACAGGAACGCCAACAGACATCCAGAGCTGGAAGTCAAGAGACAAATTCCCCCCTCAAATCTACGGAAGAAACACAGCCCTGCTGACACCTTGACTTTGGCTGACTGACACTGACTGTGGACTTCTGGCCTTCAGAACTGTGAGAGAGCACACTTCCGCCTTTTGAAGCCACTAAGTTTGAGGTAATGTGTTACAGCAGCCACAGGAAACTAATACAAGGACCGAAGTCACTGTTAATAAGCATCAAACAAAAACAGAAACTGCAGGATGTTACAAATCAAATTATGTAAAATGAATAGGTACATAAGTACATTTCTCTTATCGCAAGATAATGATGATCATTACATATACTTGTGAGTGTGCATTTGTATGCATAACATATGCATGTGTTTACATATGTAAGTTAAAATACATACCTATGTGTGTGCACGTGTGTTGTATGTGACTCCTCAAAACATAAAACTTGACCCAAATCTTTTCTATACTGAAAACTTAGACACAGTTTTTAAACTTTTGTAGCTTTAAAGATCAGCACTGAATCTTTAACCAAGGCTTAAAGATTCCCTGATGCAAATAAATTGTTCATAATTACAGAGAAAACCTAGTAAATATAACTATCAATGAGCAAAAAGATTTTTTTAAGATTTTATTTATTTACCTTTAGAGAAGAAGGGAAGGACAGAGGGAGAGAAATATCAATGTGTGGTTGCCTCTCGTGCGTCCCCTGCTGGGACCTGGCCTGCAACCCAGGCATGTGCCCTGACTGGGAATCGAACCGCGATCCTTTGGTTCACAGGCCTGTGCTCAATCCACTGAGCTACAACAGCCAGGGCTAGCAAAGAGATTTCTGACTGATAAAATACAAGTAAATTTTGAGGCTTAAATCTCAAAATCTAAAGCAAACAATGATCACATAGTAAAATGAAATTTAAACCTTCAAATATATAGTATACAATTAGACAAATGTATAAATTATATATTATGGCATTGTTCCACATTCATGGTTCCTATTTTCTTCAGTTCTTTTTAATGTAATTTTTTTAGACAATTAGGGATTAGAAAGAAGGAATTTATACGTAACTGTATAAATGAAACATAGTGTAGTAACACCATGACCTAAAACTACGTAGGTCATGGGAAAAGAATATAGATGATTCTCACATTTACAGAATTCCACTTACTCCATCGCCATGAGGGCCTAATGACCATTTGAAATGTATGTTAATGCTATACAAATCTACCCAAAGTTACAATCAAGGTGCAATGCAGTTTATTTGCAAATGACAGCAGACTGATTTTTAAATGTGTTTAACTTTTCGATGGCCACAAAAGTAGTATACAATTAAAACTTCAACTCACATGAATCCCTAATTATAGCCCATGAACCCCAAAGCAATGCATCAATTGCATTAGCTTTCTTTCATCATTAAGCAGGCACACCAAGCTTCAGGCTGACTAGTAATCTAGACCTAATACAAAAAGGCAGGCTGGGCCAAAAAAGATTCCTTATCTTCCTTAATGAACTAAGAAGTAGTCAGAGACAGGAACTGAACCTAAAAGGCGCTAAGCTGGAAAAACAAAGCTAGAGAAGTCTCAAGTATGCCAAAGTTTCAGAGCTGTGATGATGAGAATCCCAGGTAACAAGAGAAATATCAGTAAGTAAGAAAGAAGCATACATGGAGATACAGGGCGACCAACTCTCCCAGTTTGCTGGGAACTGTGCCAGGTCTAGCACTGAAAGTTTCAGGTCCCGGGAGACCCCGCAAGCTCAGGCAAATGGGGAAGGCTGGTCACCCTCAGAGAACAAGTGAATCAATCAAGTTAATGATCAAATACTAGTGTGAAAGTCAAAGATCCCATGCTGCTGGGATCACTGGAGCTACTGCAGACCCAGAAAATCCCTCTGGCAGCAGGCTCCTAAAAGAAGTTATGATTTGTGTGAGTCTGTGATTCTGCCTTTATTACCCCATGCATATGCTTAAAATAAATGTACCCCTTGCTTGGGTTAGCCTGAATTCTTGCAGCCAAAAATGCCTCACTGAAACACTGTTTTTATTCAATGATGGATTATAGAAAACTTAGCAGGTGATTCCACACCTCAAACCTTTACTTAACTACCAAAATTAATTGCTATCTCCCAGTTTGAAAAAGCTGGAAAACTTGCATTATAAAAAGAAAATAAAAAACAAAAATAAAAAGCTGTGATATACCATGCTAGAAAAGAAACAGTGGCAAACTTCATAGTCTACAGGTAAACAGAAAGTTAGTATGTAGTAAGAATGACCAGCTGTTCAATTCCTCACCAAAATGAAGTTACCAAGGGACACTGCGGAAACCCAGCCCCCAGAGGTAAGCATTGGCTCTAACACAGAGCAGGGGCTGAGCTAGTTCCGTGCGAGCGCTTGGAGTTTCTCCCAGTTCTGTGACTGCAGATCCTAACTTCAGCTGCCCAATCTTATCCCCTCTGAAAACAAGCAGGCATTAGGAATGTAGAAATGCAAAAGGAAGAAAAACGATAGTCATTTCCTTGACATGTTTTTAGAAATCACCATGGTATTTTATTCTCTACTACTTGAGAGTACGAAACTAGCCCCAAAGGGTAAAAATTAAAGGGAGGAAGATTTTCACTCACTACATTGAAAAAGACTTGTAATCATTTCAAACTTTCTAAAAATTAAATAAAAGTCTAAAAAGTGAGTTGATCAAGTGGCAATGTTTTCTAGCAGAAACTAGATGGATATAGTTTGATATATATTCAAATAAATAAATAAATAAATTCTCTCTTATTTATGGAAATATGTTTGAGACAAAAAGAATTCCTTAGAGGTTAGACTAGAAAAGGTCTTTTCTAACATTTAATTTAAAATGCAAATAAAGTCAAACATATTGGAAACTTCAAGCATACACAGAAGTAGACAGAATACTACAACAAACCCCCACATACACAACAACCGGCTTTCGTGTATCAACTCCCAGATAATCTTCATTTATTTATAACCCCCAACTTCACCTCACCTTTATATTTTTTGAAATATACCCCAGAATTCAAACCACTTTATCCTTAAATAAAGGATGAAATATTCCAAACAAGGTTTTATGTTTCTATCACTCCAAGACACAAATGTTCAGAAAGTGAATTGCATTCACCATTTATTCAATCAGGTCAACAGATAAACTGAAGGCATCAGAGCTTGTCTCACTGTCTAGCTCTCAGTGCCATCTAGTGGATAAAAACCGCAACAGAAATGGTAAAATTAGCAAGTATCGTGGTGATGTGTGGGCAAGTTTATAGGCTTAAAGTAGTTTCAGTCACTGAACATTCTTCAGTAGTTCATCTTCTTTTAAGAAAAAACAGTATAAAAACTTAAAATTTTTTTGTAACCTTTAAGACTTCTCATAACCTTATTTCCTCCTACCTAACCTCATTTGCTGTTTTTTCCTCTGTAAGCTATCATCGGAAAGGTTCTAGAAAACTGTACTTGAACAACAATAATTTTTTTTTAAAGAGGGAGTAAAAAACAGAAAACTGTACTTGAACAATAATTAAATAAATTTTAAAAAAGAATGATGATGTTACACTGACTGTTTCAGAAACCTCATCTGTGTATGTGATATTAATGAGTTTCTGTTTCGGTGTGACTGACCCATGGGCAATGATTGGTGGTAATTATAGACGCTGATAGCATTCTGTATTGTCATGAAGAATACTTTAAATACATTATTTTGTTTAAAAAAAAGAAAGAAAGGTTCTATCACTTGTTCCCAAATACGCCAAGCCCATTACATATTCTAGACTTTTTACTGCCCCTCCTATCTCAAAATTCTCTGGAATTTACCAGTTCAATTCAGCTTAACAATTCAAAATACATGGCTCAATTCCATCTCTTTCAGGAATTCTTCCCTAAATAGTCCTTTGGAATTTTAATTTTTTTGAACTCTCACAACTTTATCATCAAAAGCAGCAAATGTCTCTATCTTAATATCTAATAAATACAAGGTCTATTAATTTTGTACCTCTACTTGTAAATATAAACCCCACAAAGGGTCCTATGTCACATTTCATTAGTATCTCTACAATATTTAACAAATGGTATATCTGATGGACTCATCTATTTATGTATTATACAGGCAAAGTAAAACCCTCAATACAGTGGGATTTATAGCTACAAGGACAATAAAAGCAAGGACTATGTCTGTCTTAGTCAATATCCTATCCCTTTTATTTTATGCAGTGCCTGGCTCAACATTTGCTCAACAAATTGTTCATAATCTTATAAAAGGAAACAAAAATTATTACAAAAATGATGGCTACAAACCAAACAAAAAAAGTTGTAGGGACAACTTTTTTCTTTGGGACAAAGAAAAAACATCTTTTTAAAAAGCAATTCAGCTTAACACGTGCTTGTAAAGCTGTCCCTGTTCACACTAATAGCACAGTTGGAGTTGCTTCGCACTTACAAACAGCACCTTAGCACTTACACAACTTTTATTTCATATAGTCATCATTTCCCGCATTTTACTGTCCTTTCACTATCACTACGAATACAATTTTCAGTGATAATGTGAAGAATAATTCCCATAACAAACCTGAAAAATGTATCTACTGGACTGAAGCTCAGGCACAGGAAGAGGGGAGTTGACTGGATGGTGTCAAACCGGTCAAGTGGGTGGAGCTACTACTTGTGGTGAATTTTTAAATATCGGTACATTAAATAAATCGCTAAATAAAAGCCAAGGTTAAAAAAACTCTAAATGTGTGTTAACCAACAGTTTCCTCTATTGTTACTTGACTTTTGGATCTACTTACTCATCAAAGGACAGAAAAAAAGCCATAAACAAAGTGCCCCATAAATGTATTAAACCTTTTCACAACAGTGGTTAGGAATCGCTTCTGTCCAAATGCTACAAACTTACACAAACATGATTCAGATAAAATTGGGAAAATGTTATGTCCTTGGTGACCCAAAGCTCTTTCTAATAAGGTTTGAAACTTAATACTTTAGCACCTTACATTAGATGACTCCAAAGTATCTTACTGAAAATATACATTTTAAAAACTATTTATAAAAATACACATCATCCCACTAACTCCCCACTTTATAGCGATAAAAGGAGGTAATGAAAAGTGAAGTTGACTCTGACCCCCCCTAATCTCTACTTCACATCCTAGATATGTCATACACCCAAAAAATCACAGACATAAAACACAACATGTACTTACAGCCTGGGCTTGTTGGAATAACTGATTCTGGTTCTCTCTGTCTTCTAGTCCATCCCCAAGCATCTGGGAAGGAGGTAACCTAGCACTTCCAATAGCAGCATTCAAGTGGTTTGGAAAAACACTGGTTCTTTTAGGAGTTAAGTATGCTGGATCTGAAGAACGCATGGCTATACAGCCTTCCTTTTCTGCCTATACACCAAAAAAGAAAGAGTGTCATGATTCTGGTAAGATTCTACTCCAATCCAGCGCAATCAAAGAATGCCTATAAGCAGCCCAAAGTATTTAAAATTGGTGTGGGGGGAGGTAGCAGAAAGCTTTAAAGTAACATTCACCAGGCACTTACCACGTGCTGTAACTTTATCCTATCTAATTCCCACAACAGTCTCGTAAGGCAAGAATATCTCCACTTTATAGGTGAAGAAACTACAGTCCAGAGGAATGAATGGGATGAAGTCATTGGCCCAAGATCACATTGCTAGTAAAATAGCACAAGCCAGGTCAGCATCACAGAGAAGTGAGAAGACCCCTTTTGCATCTTCCCTTAAATTTTCAGCGTGTCAGACATCTATAATCCAATAAACGTTCCTCTGCTCAACACTCAAACAGAGCTGAGGACCCACACATCAGCACATCTGCAGGAGGGCATACAGGACACAGGGGAGGCAGGATGGAGGGAAGGGCAAGGATGGTGTCTAAGATGCAGCTGGACAGCCCCTGTGGCCTCAGCTAACAGGGTTGTGGTGGAGGAGTCACAGTGCAGTTCCCACACTAGGGATGGGTGGAGGTCCAGAGGGGCAGAAGCACCTCGGTGCCCAAGAATCTGGCTCCCTACCCCTACCCCCCACCCCCTAGTGCTCGGAACCGGGTAGCCGCAGCACAGATTTGTCTAAGAGCACAGGGGTGCAGGCCCCCACTAGGAACAAGGAGGCAGCATTGTGAGCTTGCAAACCCAGCTCCTCCCTACCTACCACAAGGTGGTGCCCCAAGACCAAGGCAACCTGGACACGGAAGGGACACTCACTGCCCTGGTCACTTGGGAGTCAATTTCCACAACAGGCACACCACCCCTAGGCACGAGTAGCACAGGTAAAGAAAACAAAAATTGTACAGGAGCTACAAAGTGATCTGCAGCTGGCTGCTACTTGTGTTGGGATTGGAGGTGCCAAGGTGAGGCCAAGCTGTGAACCAAGGCCAACTGCCACTGGTGCCAGGCCTGGGGCCACTCAGCAAGAGCTAAGGGGCTTGCTGAGGCCAGATGCTGCTTACTTGAGAGAATTTAGGAAAATCTGAAGCATGAACCAAGACAAGCCATTCCTTTGGAAAAGCTACTGGAAACAGCCTGGATGGGCCTAAAAGTTAGGGGGACAGGGCAGGGCCTCAGAGATGCTTCTGTGAATTTGACTGCAAAGGAAAATGAAAGCAGAAGTAAACAACCAGGACTGCATCAAACTAAACAGCTTCTGCAGAGTAAAAGAAATCATCAGCAAAAGAAAGGGGCAACCAACCAAACGGAAGAAGATATTCACAAATGACATGTCTGATAAGGGGTTAATATCTTAAATATATAAAGAACTCATACAACTCACCAACAAAACCTCCAAAAAATCAGATTAAGAAATGTACAAGGATCTGAACAGACATTTTTCCAAGGAAGACATAGAGCGAGCCAACAGACATGAAAAGATGTTCGACACATTAGTTATTAGAGAAATGCAAATCAAAACCACAATGAGACACACCCTCACACCTGCTGGAATGGCTATTATCAAAAAAGACAAGAAAACAACAAATGCTGGAGAGGATGTGGAGTAAAGGGAACCCTCGTACAGTGCTGGTGGGAACAGAAATTGGTACAGCTACTGTGGAAAAAAGTACAGGGATTTCCTTAAAATTAAGAATAGAACTACCATATGACCCAGAAATTCCTTTTCTGGGTATTTGCCTGAAAAATATAAAAACACTAATTTATAAAGATATATGCACCTCTGTTTACTATGGCATCATTTACAATAGCCAAGACATGGAAGCAACCTAAGTGTCCATAATGGATGAATAGATAAAGAAGATGTGAGATATAAATATATATATATTTAATATTACATATACAATTAAATGCTACTACTTAGCCATATATATGTGTGTACGTGTGTGTGTTTATAAATAACCATGTGGCAATGTGGATGGTTCTTCAGGGTATTATGGTAAATGAAATAAGTCAGACAAAAAGTGTATTTCAGTCATATGTAAGATATCAACCAAAAAATCACACAATAACAAAACAAACAAAACAAACTCATAGGTCACAGACGACAGAATTGGTGGTCACCAGAGGGAAGGCAAAATGGGTGAAAAGGGTCCACGACATGGTAACGAGGGAAACTGGACACTGGGCAACAAGCATGCAACAGAGTATACAATGAATTATGTTGCACACCTGAAATTTATACTATGAACTAGTGCTACCTCAATAAATTTAATTTTAAAAAATAGCGTAAGCCAGAATTCAAACCCAATTCTGAATCCCAAACTCTGACAGTTTTTAAATGAGTGAGAACAACACAGGAATAAAACACGGTTTCTCTCCATGCACATCTACTGCCCTCCCCAGCAAATCAGATTGTACAAAGCATGGCATCAAAGGCAAGTGATTGCTTATCTCATAACACACACACTTTCCATTCACTCAGTGCTCCCTTTGAACGTACCGCTTCGTAAGACTTCTGAAGCTGTTGCTTTTTTCTCAGCCTGATTTGTTGATTTACTCGGTATTTGACTTGTCTCTGAAAATGCTTCAAAGCTTCTTGTTTTTTTCTTAGCTGTTCCTTTACTTGTTTTTCAATTATACATGCCGAAGTCTTCAAAGATGAAAGATAGAAAACAAAATAAAACGTCAACAGTTTTTCCCATTACGGCTGTCATAAACACAGAGTAGCAATCCTGAAAAAAACAACTCAGTTCTAATAATCCAAAATTCCCAGTTGAGTAAGGAAATCACAGGAGTTCAGAGACAACAGTCTAGGCATAGCTAGTGAGTACCAAGAACTTAAAAGCAAATCACAAACTCAAAACTGGAATTTGTAAGTACTCACATCAAACCTTAATTTTTCATTAAATTCTAAACAAACAGTATCTTCATTAATTTTGAATGAACCAGTTCAAATCTATCTTATGCTATACATTTTCTAAAGAGAGTGAAACAGTCCAGACACCCCAGACTGCTCACCACTCACCCAATACATCTTATTCTAAAATGCTTCACACTCAGAACTATGCCCCACGCTCAGCCCGCACGCTCTCCCTGCAATCTCTGTGTAGGAAAGGCCTACTCAATCTTCGGGCCCCGCTCCCAGCACCGTCCGCAATCCTTTCTTCCTCTAAGGTCCCTTATGCAATTGAACCTCTGATAAATGTTAACTGAACACAGTTTTCTTGATTCTGCCATTAGACTATGATCTCTTTGAGGGCAAGAAATATATTTATTCTCCTTTGTTTCCTCTACAGTATGTAACGCAGAGGCTTGAGCATAACGATACTCAATATTTAAGTAATGCTCAATTCTAAAACACACTCTAAGCAATTTGGAACATTTTTATCCCATTTGAGTCCCTGATCAGTATTCACAAAGTCTTATCTTTCTTCTTTAAATACCACAGTCTTAGCACTTAATCATATAGTACCCAAACTCTTAAAATCCTTTCTGAAAATAGGCAATAAATAAATGAATATGTGCATATATACATACAAACATAAATAAGTAAAGATACAACATATTTACTGTTTGCATTACTGTTTAACATTTACTGGAAACATTTCTTTTCTCATATCAAGGACCACTAAGTAAGCATATCTCAGACTTTTCCCCTTCATACTCAGCACCCTGTCTATACACATTCAGAAGACCTTCCCACATGTTCTGCACTCCATAAATATTTACCAGATGCCCCTATATATTAGACACTAAGATAAATGTGGAAACACAATGATAAATAAGATTATTACCCTCTGATCTAGGAGCTCACAATCCATCAGGCAGATAACTTGCTATGAATGTAAGGCGGTAAGTGCCACAAGAAAATTCAAACAAATAGCTAAGTGAAACAGCTTGGTGAAAGGCTATAAAAGTCTTGTTACAAAATTGTCCTGGTGCGTCAATTAGCACGTATGGGCATGTGAGTGTTATGGTGGAAACAGGCACCCATGTAAACTTTGCCAGTTTCCCTTCCCTCGAAATGCTCCTTCCTCCTCACTGTTTTGAACCTACAGCATATCCAGTCTTTAAGGACTGATACAGAGTGTATTTCCTCATTCATTCATTCATTCATTCGTTCAGCCAGTATTCCCTGAAGACCTTCTAGAAGCCAGGACAGCAATGAACAGAACATAAAGATCTCTGTTGTCATGGAGCTCACAGTTAAGCTTTCTCACAACCTCGGTTGGAAGTAATCTCTTCCTCCTCTGTTCCATGGCTGCTTGTGGCCTGAATCCCCAATACCAAACTTACCAAAAACTTGAAGCAATCAATTAATGTTACATGAAATGGGGCCAAATGTGGCCCTGAAGACACTGAAGAAATGTCTGGAAGATACAGTGCCAATTACAAGTGCATAACAAGCAATCAAGAGTTTGTGAAGCAAACTGAAATACACAATGTGCATGTAGGTTTTGGCCAATACATATGTGTTTGTTCTATAATCCTAATGAAAGAATATATGTATTTAGGGCACACCAAAGAGGCTGATAAGAAAGATGGGGCGGGGACACCACCACTTTGGCTCAAGCTGACACTCACATAGGCTGGGATTTCCGAACTCTGTGGGGAGGCAGGTTCCACCCACGCGCCCACTGGTACTACAGCCTGGTTCCTCTCGGCCAGCACTGCCAGCACGTCTTTGCTCTTCAGGGGATTTAAAGCCAAGGGCAACCTGGCGCTATTTCGAAGTTTCTTGTGGGAGGCCATACTTCCTGGCATCTGTGACTCCTGGTTAGGAGAAAAGCATAAAATCTTCAAACGACAGCGTTACAGCTCCACTTCCTAACACATGAGCCAGTGCCCGGAAACGGAGAGAAGCCTTGAAGGAGGCAGGGGCCTGGCAGCGAGTGGAAGAACGAAGATTCTGTAAGAAGGAATGGAAAAAGAAGTGGGAATAAGGGGAGGCGGGGGGATTAAAGAGAGCCTTTTGCAACGAATGATGGGGGGCAAAGGGAGAGACAGGAAGGTGTGACTGACAGAACGAGGGCTGTACCCAGCAGTGGCACAGCGAGGTGAGACCGGGAGGACTGACCCTAGCTGCCCAAAAGGCGGGTGGGAGGACGGGGGTGACAACCTGGGTTTGAGGCAGAGTCCAGATAATCCGTATCCGCTTATGGGGGAGACGCTGAATGAGGAGGGGGCCTCGGGACAGATAAAACTTATTTCTGAGGCCTCGGGGTCCCACACCTGTTGAGATAATACCCGCGACTCGCCAAACTCAAGCTACTCGCGACACCAAAGCAACCGCCTCCAAAAAACCGCCACTTTCAGACAGGCCGCCCCGCCCTTCAGTCTCCCTGAACCCGCCTCTTCCGGATTACTGTCACCTCCCGGGGGCTGGCACGGCGTGGGGGCGGGGGTTCGGGGTCCGGGCACGTCACTTCCGCTGAGGGGTGGGACTTGTGAGGGCTAGTTGAATAAGGCGGAAGCGAGTGGGTTGGCTGGGCAGAGTTCGGAGCCAGTTGCGGTGGTCTTCCTGGCCGACTGATGGACCGCCATAGTTTCAACGCTGAGACCGTCCCAGATCCTCCAGGAACAGGGATTCGCTGGGTTGGAGGGCTGACTGGCCGGGCAGCAGGTGTCTCAGTTGAGGGAAGCACGGGAAAAGGAAGAAAGAATGCAGGCCTAACAGGGCTTCCTGGAGGTGCAATAAGTCAGTGATCTTTTGCACGCCTCGTTTACATTTACTTGTACATATATTTGAACATCGCAGCCTTGTGAGTGGTCTCCCTGTCTGCTGCTCCAAACTCTGTATAATCATTGGCACTTCATCATCCCTGGGAAATACCCACTCATTCGTTCGTTTAACATAAGAGTTTGAAAGCTTTTTATATACCATTACTGTTCTGGGCACTGGAAATGTAAATAAGAACAAAGCAAATATCCCTTGCTCGTGGAATTTACAATGTAGTAGTAACCAAATGAACACATGAATAAGTAAATACGTGTGTCTGATTGGATGAGTATTGAGAAACAGAAAAGGATAGTGTGTTAGTGAAAGAAGACATGATATTTTAGATAGGATGACCAGACTCGCAGAGCAGAGACGCCAGTGCAGCCTCAGGAGATAATGAAACAAACTATTGTAATCTTCAAAGAAAAGGGTTTAAAAATTTTATTTATTTTTAGAGATGGGGAAAGGAGGGAGAAAGAGAGGGAGGGATACATCAATGTGTGGTTGCCTGTCACGTGGCCCCCACTGGGGACCTGGCCCTCAACCTAGGCATGTGCCATGACTGGGAATTGAACCGGCAACACTGGTTTGCAGCCCACACACAATCCACTGAGCCACAACAGACAGGTCAAGAAATGATTTTAGGTATAGAGGGAACTGTGAGTGCAATCACTCAGGTGATTGGGCCCCACTTGGCAAGAAGGCTGGTGTGACCGGAGCAGAGTGAGAGGGAGAGTGTTGAGACTGGAGGTCAAAGGCTGAATGAGGGATGGGCAATCATGTAGAGCATCCTGAGCCGCTGACTCTGTGTCTGGCCACCACGGCGCCGATCAGAGTAGCCGAAGGCTTGAGAAAAGCTGACACCAGGGGCTGAACAAGGGAGGAGTGATAACCATGAAGGCTTTTAACAATCTAATTTTCTATTATTTTTGTTCCCTCCAATATTTTGTTACATAATGGAAAAAATTCTTCCTCTTTTGCTTCAAATTGTTCAGGTTAAACTTCTGTCACTTACATCCAAAAAATCTTGACAAGTCACATTCCTTAGCTTGTTGGGCAACAAACCCAACACAGACTCCTGGAAGGCTGCCTCTGCAAGGGTCTGGAATCTATACCAAGCTGGACCCTGTAACAACCACCAGGAGTGATAATGTTGGCTTGTCTTCAAGACTTTCTCCCCTAGCAACGTACTTGAGGCCTTTTAAGAAAGCTGTTTCTCCCTATGTTGAATCCTGTGTATGACAATCTCTTAGTGACTCTGGACTCACCACTGGGAACCCAATTTTTCTCTTGCTAATTAAGCTTTGGTTTTTATGGTCCTTTGGCCCACCTTATCCTCCACTTCACATCTTTTCTCAGAGCCTTCCCCTTTGTACTGACTTTTACTTCTGACTGAAGGCAATTTCTTTCAGGAGTGTAGTATGAATGCTAGACAAAGAAGCACGGGCTGGGTCTGAACTATGTGGACTTAAAAACTGGGTGACTTTGAGCAGGCCACTTAACCTCTCTGAGTTCCGATTTTTCCTTTAAAAAGTCCTACACACAGAGTTGTTAGAAGAATAGATAAAATAATATTTTAAAAGAATTTGTAATGGGTGATGCAAATGCTTTACCAATTATAGACTTAGATGCTTCTTTCCCAACTATATTTAAGCACATAGACAGGGATTGTATCTTCTATTACTTTAGAATAAGCCACCTTTCCCCTTTCCCACATCCCACCCCTTTTATGGTGAGCACAGATAGCTAGTTAGTGTTAATAAAGAAAGGGAGCAAATGGAATCAGACATTAAGCCTAGTAAACTAGGGAGCTGAATCAGACAATAGGCCTGATTCACTAGGAGGTCACAGCATTCAAAGGCTTCCCTGGGGACCTCTGCATCCTTTACCAGAGGGATTTAATTTCATCAATCCCAGTAGCCGGATTATTGGGGGGAGGAGCAGGGGAAATTCCTCTGCTGGGATCAGGCCCACTAGAAGCCAAGACAGTGCAGGGGGAGGTCCTTTTAATATGAAGCATGTGCAATAGGAGCCAAGACGGCAACCATAATGAGGAGATCTCTAGCCTGGGGAAGATAAAATTGAATAAGAGGGAAATAGATTGGTCACCGAAACCCTAAGTTAACATAATCATGTCTTGACGAAGACCTTTCTCTCAGTAATACATGTTCATTCATGCTCTCGCCCATTCATTCGCATGTTCTCTTTCCATAGCAGCCACACAAACCTAGCAGTCATGCGGGCCCAAATGCAGGTTCCAAATGCAACTCCAAGTGCAAACCTGGGCACAGCAATGCAGCACTGGCTGGAGTGCAGACGGGAACAGAGACTAAGCTAGCTGGATTTAGACAGAGGCTGAACTGGATCAAGCTTTGGCAGGGACTGAACGAATGGCACAGAGTTTCTGGATCTTGACCTTCTTCTGGGCTTGATGAAAACAAGGCTGGACTTCTGCCACAGTGAGACAGATGAAGATGAGACATTGGGAAACTGGGGGGCAGTCTTTTATTTCAACCCCAGTAAATCTTACCGCATCTCATCCTTCCAGGCTCAGGTCCCAGAAATGCTTTTCTTGAAACTCCGTTAAAGGACTCCATTTCCACCAGCAACACTACTGATCTCGGGAACATGGAGTGCTCTTCACATAGCAGGCTAGCTGATTTCCATTTCTGCCCCTTCCTTTTTGGGCGGAGGGCAAGAGAGGGAAGGTGGAAGTAAATCCTTCCAGGACATGGTTGGTGGGAGGACTCCATCTGAGGATCCAGGAGAAGGGAAACAATGAAGTCTTTCATGAGTTAGGGATGGCTCTTCCATGATTTTTCAACCTGTTTTTATTTGATCACTGAAGCTATAGAAGAACAGAACTCCAGAGATATTCTCTAGAATGTCCTGGCTTCATCTTAAATAGGTCAGCAAACTGGATCTTTCCAACACTTTAAAGCCAATTAATGTCTCTTCTTTGTTCCTCTGGAGAGCAGCTGAATAGGGCACGTTTAGCAACCATGGACACAAGCCCGAGTTCCGCTCAGTTTCTGAGGGGGCAGGAATTCTATTCAGAAATCAAATATTTACTCTCAGCATAAAAGGCTTTGGTGTTTCCCAGTTTTCCAGCATGGAAATGAGAGCACCTCCTCTCTACCTCACAGAAATGCACCCAGGACTGCATACCACGCTGACCACATATTTCTCCCAACAAACCCATACCTTCAGAGACACCCTATCTCTGCAGAATGCTCTTCCTCTGAGAGACTCCTCACATTTACAGACATCTGCAGGCAGCCAATCCAGTGTTCAGGATGAGACTATGGAAAGGCAGGAGGAGCCTTTGACTTGATCTCCACTTTCTATTTGATGTTTCTCAGCAGTGAGCAAGAGTAGGGCTACCTAGGAGAACTTTTAAAAAGGAAAAGGAAAGAAAAAATGCTCTCGGGGAGGGCCATTGCTCACTGTGCAGGCCCACAAAAAGTTGTTTTGTTCCAAAGAGAGCTAGCTAATCTGTCACTTGTTTGGTGGCCGCTGGAGCAGCAAGGCCCTGCCCCCTCTCAGCACAAAGCCTCACACACTCCTTGTTTCCCAGGCAATGCCACAGCTCAGCAAGCTCTCTGGCTGACATTGGCCTCCTGGGACCTTCCTCTCTCTCCATCCTGGCAAACTGAACTTATGGCAGGGATAGCTCTGGCACCAGTCACATATAGGTTTATGGAACAAAGAATCAAAGAGAATTTATGCAGTAGTAGGGGGCATGAGGAGTGGGCAGAAAGGCCACCTTCTAACTTGGAGCTTAGTCAGAGAGTAGATGCTGGGGGTGAAAGGTTAGGCCAGGCCTGAAACTCACACACTGAAGAGGGCAGCTTCCCACTGAGAGTCAGGGAGGTGGTCAGAGGCCTAAGCTCTGGTGGTGATCAGCAGGGTTCCAATTCCAAGTTCTGCTACTTGGTATCTATAGGACCTTTGCAAGTGGCTAAATTCCTAAAATTTTAGGTTTTCCTCTTTATAAAATGGAGTTATAATCTCTACCTACAAGGAGTATTGGAAGAATTAAATAAACAAATACATATCAAGTGCCTGGCAGAGTAAAGTGAGGAAGGGCTTACACATGTGCACACACACACATGCACATACACTCACTTGTGTGCGTGCACATACTGAGAGAAGTTAGAGGAGGGAAAGTTGGACAAGATGCCTCTGTGTGAGGGTCAGCCAGTGGTCTGAGGAATTCATCCCACCCCACCCCTCAGGAGCATCCCTCAGCCTACAACTGAGAGCCAATGGGGACTAATATCCCACCGCCCTGGCCCCTTGGATGGGATAGCTCTGAGGCACATTCTACACTGTCTCTCTGAGTTCCCTAAAAGGATTAAGTTGTAGCTGCTCAGGATAGTAATTTGATTGATATTCAGCCTTTGTTGGCTTCTTTCCCTTCCAGGTCTCATTTTCCCAATATACTACCTTGTTTTACTGGACTCGCCTTTGAATAAACTAATTAACTTCTTGCCTCAGGGTCTGCCTCTGGGATCCAAATTAACATAGCCACTATTGCTCCAAATTCCAAAATCCTCGGTTCTCA